AGACTGTCCAGTCTAGAAATGAAATTGTTTTTATCCTATGTAATAACTCATATAGGAAAGATGACAGTAATTGGGAGAGGCCATTAGCACCTGCCACAGTGTTTAAGGACTGTATTGCTTGTCTTTCAGTTACATACCTTTTCATTAGGGGGGGCGTTTGTTGGTCTCAATAATCTTCCAAAAAGAGATCAGACTCTGCCTGCCAGTGCCTACATTCCTAAGAATAAAGGAGGTGCTTCAAGAGTCACATGAATCCTTGCAAGTTGACAGCTACTTATGAAGCTCTGACCAGCTCAGTGATCCTGTACAACACTTCTCCTGCAAGACTAAGTTTGGCTTACATGGCTTAAGACTAAGTCTCTCCTACAGACAGCAGGACTCTGAGAAGAGAGAGGGAGAGGAAGGGAGGGAGGGAGAGAAAAAGGGAGTGAGGAGGAGAAAAGAGAGAGAGACTTTGCATTCATAAATTCTGTGAATTTCTTACTAATCATTAGAGGTCAGCTAGTCAAGATAACGCATGATGAATAACTAATGTCTTTACTACTCAGTGTAAGCCTTTCCTATGTCATGTCCTCATTGTGCGAAGAAACAGGGTTTTGTTGTCCCTTTTCTGAAATTTCCACCCCATCCCCCATATTCTTTCAATCTCTTTTGCCATAAATGTGGCTTTGAGGTGCTGGGGATACAGCTCAAAGGTGTAGCACTTGCCTAGTATATGCAAGGGCCTGGGTTCTGTGACCAGCAATGAGAGAAAAAAAAGCCTGAGTGATGGTGCATACCTGTAACCCCAGCACTTGGGAGAGTGAGGCAGGAGGATCACTGTAAGTTTGACACCAACCTGGGCTATACAGTGAGTTCAAGGCCAGCCTGAGCTGTATATGGAGACCCCTCAAAACACACAAACAAACAGAAAGAGGAGAAAGAGAGAGAGAGAGAGAGAGAGAGAGAGAGAGAGAGAGAATCAGAGGACTTGCTGTGCTATGGATTGTCAAATTTGTAGCAATGGGAAATGAAGTTCTGGGCTCAGGTGGGTGAGCAGCTAGAGTTCTTCCACAGGCAGACAGAGGAGGCAACCCTGCAGGTAAGTAGCTCTCCCTGGCCCTCCAGAATCTCCTCCTCTCTGATCTCATTCTTTCTGCACTGTCAAGGTCAAAGAAGAGTTTGCATAGCCTCTTTCACATCTCATTGCTTGGGCTACAACTCTTAGGAGAGTAATGATATTCTAATGGGAAGCTAATTTTATAATGCTATGTTTACATTCCAAATTGCATGGGTTGTTTTTCTGTTCAAACAGTTCCTCATACAAAGATCCTCAGAAACCAGGTCTTTCACATCGTTGACTGATTTGTCTAATAATTAAGCCTGAAAAAATTTCATATACTCTTTTAACACAATCATTGAGAATGAAAATCTGTAACCAAGTAACTAAACTTTCAGCACATTGTGAATATTCAAGCTTATCATCATCTTTTAACCAAATGGGAAAATGCTAACATTAATTTGTGAAATAAGAAAGCATTTACTCCAAAGACTTTGAAAGCTGAGCTACATTAATAATCACTGCACATACATACTCTCTCCAAAGCTAGACTTACTTTGTTATTTTTTGCAACTATCTTTTGATGAACATCCTCTTTTCCCAACTTTATCTTTGTGAATAGGTTTTTCTTCCAGAAATAAATTTGCAGGGTTTTCATCGTTGCCATTCATATTTGAAAAACAGTTGGAATCGCATAGTTTTTTTGGCAAGCAGAATGGAGATACCTGCAAAGGAATGTACAATATAAAGCTTAGAGTATACATTTTTATCTTCAGCAAGAAGGAATGCCCTAAAATAGGTTAAGAGTTCACTGGTATGCATTTAACTTCTGAACTACAAGTCTATGGGTCTGTTTAGTGATTAATCATTAATCTTAGTAAATGCAATTTTCTACTCTTTAGCAGTAAGAACATCTATTTTTGTCACTCAAATGGAAGAGTTCTGATTTAATCACTTGTCTTTGTGAAAACTCCTCCACAGTTGGCTAAGCTTATGCACTTCCAGGATTTAATTCACACGTAGAGCAAACAGCACATCAAGTTTTGTGATCCAGTGTGAGAACTCAGGTGGTGGTAAATGTGATGAGATTCAACACTGTCAAATAAACCAGAAAGATTTTTATTTATTTTAAACAAATTTCCAATGCACATGCAGGTTTGGGGGAACATACACTTTTGCAATTTGCATTTCATATGTTCTAAAGTGCCCACTGGCAATGCAGAATGGCAAAATATTTCAGTGACTGGAAGGAAAAACATTTGCTATTCATGTTTGCAAATGCCCGGTGCAGTAACTCCTCCTACACAGAAACATTATGCAGACCTCTCTAGAACATGAAAATACAGCAGTAAAGACCGTTCTGCACAAGGCTGCAAATAACTTGGGAAGCGAAGGTCACCAGACAGCTTCCACCTTCCCTTTGCCCTACATCACTGCCCCCTGGAATGATGTAGAGAGTCCACTTTGGAAGGGCTCAAGGCCTGTATGTGCCTCAGAGAGAGACCTGGGATATTCTACATTCCACACTGAGGTCATTGGGCTGTGGAATTTTGTACCTATTTTCAACAGGACTACAATTTTTGAGAAAGGCTTGAAATCTTTGTGCTATTTCAAACTATATTTTTGCTAAATAAGTGGAATTTTAAACATGAATGACCAACACTTAGAATTTGGTGATGCTCTGATTTTGTGATGCAAATTAGCTTAGTGATCCGTGCTGTGGATTTTCCAATCTACTTTTCATGCACATTTGATACAGTACCTACGCGTTTCCATGTAGTTGTTTATTTGGTTTAGCGAATTGCTTTTCAATAACCTTTTTACTTAGCATTTTGGCTTTGATTTTGGGCATTAAGTTGAGGGCTTTTATGATGAGATAGATCTCTTCTGATTACCACTGCTTCTATTTGCATTTAACACTTTCACATAATTCTTATATTTTTTTATTTTGGTGGTTCTGGGGAATCAAACTCAGGGTCCTGCACATACAAAGCAAGAACTCTGCCACTGAGCCACATCCCCAGCCCAAGTCTTATATTTTTAGAAAGTAGTAGTTGGATTATCCTTTTTTAAAAAAATGGATTTAAATTCAACTCTTGAATTTTTCATTTGATCAAAATATTGTGCCTAGGTGGGTACCTTGCAAACAAATGTGAAGCAAACAGAAGCAAATCTGTAGCAATGTGGCTATTAGCTGATTATTACTGTTTTAGTAACACACTGAATGGTGAGTTCTGAAATTGAAGTTAGCATCACTTTCAGTGATTGATACATATGTTCTATTGAGACAAGTTTGAGAGGTGTGATGTCCCTTCAGTGAATGACAGCTAACTGGATGGTAACAGTGAGCACTGTAATATGAAAGATTATATAAAGTATACCTTTTCATTTCATGAGCCATTTCTGTCTCTAAAACTATATACAAGCAATGCTGAATTCCTTTATGTAACCAATATTAGTTTATAGAATATATATAATTAATGATCTGTTACTGAAAGCACATTTAGAAATAAATTTTTCTCTCTGTAACATCATTGGAGAGGCAGTGAGAGTTCCTCTCCTTTCCCAAAACACTTGTGGATGCAAAGACACAGTTCTGTGGCAAATCTGAGCTTGTTGCTCATGGACAGATGCAGCTATGGTAGAGCAGAGTCCAACATTTACATCCAGGGAAGCTCTGCCAACCGTGTGAGAACTGAACACATAGTTGTAGTGTCTTTGACTGTAGGATTTTCTAAAAACCCACACCAAACTCTCAGCACACTGCTTGCCTAGGAAACAAAGCCTCTAGTGTCTCTTTAATTTTATCCCTTTTTCAACGTAAAGGGCTCTTTACTGTTAAGGGCGCACGAGAGCCTGAGGACTCTCCCTTGTTTACTGGGCATACTCAGAGCTGGGTCCGACGTGCACATCTCCTTTGCTTCAGTCTGGCTTGTTCACTGTTAGCTCATTCAGCACAGGGAGCTACGGGGGGTGAAACAGATCCTGCTGGCCTTTATTCATCATGCACTTCCTGCCCGGAGTCTCCACAAAGCTTCTACCACGAAGCATCATTTTGCACAATTAGAAATAGTTGAAATAACAACTTCCAGGAAAATTCTTGGTTCCAGGACTTCTACACGTTTTCAAGTCAAGAATGCAGCGTCTGCTGCCTTGCTGCCTGCTCAGCAGGCCCCAGATATCCAGGCAGCTTGGGGAACCACCAGACCTTCAGCTCAGATGGCCCAGCCAATGGGTTTAACACATTCCACCATGAGCATTGTGTACAAATCTGCCGCATCACTGAACCAGGAGGATCTACTTCAGTCAAGCCCAACCTAACTAATGTGGAACCAGTATTTAGCAATTTGTTGAAAAAATGATGTATGCATTTCCATCCATAAGGATGGCTCTTACTCCAGTTATAGATCTTCCCCTCCTATACTCTTATTCATCTGTGCAAGAGAATGCAGCCTCTACTTCAGAATTTATCTGGGCAAATGTTCATGGTAAACTGAGGCAAACACCTGTACAGTTTGTCAAAAAGATGAAAGAAGTTGGGGAAAAATATAGTATTGCAGGAATTATCTGCATAATTACTTCAGATTTCTGTATTATGTGAACTACTTGGAATAAAATACCAACTCTATTAATGGGTATCTGCTTGCTAATATTATTTTTGACTTTCAAAGTATATCTGACCACACAGAGCGAGTCATTGTGACTTTTTCTCAAGTGTATATAAATAGTGATATTAGAAACTCCTGGATTTTGATATGTCATAATGTCTGATTCCCCTATCTGCACAAATATCCACTGTGGCTGTATTTTGATCTGTCACTCGGAACATTGACATTGGCTTCATACAAATCATTTCTTTACTTTTCCAATGAGTATCAAACTAGAGGCTAGAAATGAGAGGGTAGAAACTGCAAATGAAAAGCTGTATTTTTATAAATACAACGTGAACACAGGTGCTGAATTAACGGGGCATATGTACATCTTTATGGCAACTTTTCCCATTACATGAATAGTTCTGGTACTTTTACAAAAACATGAAGGATAAATCCATTTGAGGATACTGTAACAATGTGCATGTGAGAACACACACACACACACACATACACACACACACAGGCAGCAAATTTACAAAGCATGTCAGATAGCTGGTGGCCATTACTGAATGAAGAATAAATTACTGAGTCACCTCAGATTCCATTATATTTATACATAAATTGTGCATTTATAAAAATCTTACAAATAATTTTTCCAGGAAGACATTACGGGTAACAATTTAACACATGTAATAAGAAAATATCTTAACATCTTAAAATCACAATCAGATAAATTAAACAATTCAAGAAGCGGATGGTTATCACGAGTAAAGAATTCTATTTATAAAGACTTCTCCATTTTTCATGTTTGAAACCACGGCACGTTCTGTCACGTTTTCACCCTCACATATTGTCTGTAAGCCTTGTCTCGATGGACGGAAAGTAAAGCACTGTGAAGTATAGCCCAGTAGAAAGTCAAACACACATTTCAATCAGCCATTTATATGAAGAGAAGTTCTACTTCTGCAAAATTGCAAGTAGATTTGCTGTCAGATTTTGTAAACTGGACAGACCGTTAGACTTGTTGTTTTCTAGTAAATAGACGGTTAACTGCATTTAACAGAACAACTTTACCAAGACATGATGAAAACTTAGTTGACATCGCATTGTGCTGTGTTCTGAGGATACTGAAGCCACCTGGTGTGAAGGGGAAAGTGGGATAAAGCTGTAATGTTAACTGGGAATAAATCTTGTATACCATTGTTCTGAGACTATCAATACTTGTCTATATTATGCTAACAGCATATCTCATCTTACAAATGAAATGCTAAGTATTTAGGAGCAGGTGGTAACATTTCAATGACTAGGATAGTCAACATGAGCCCAACATGTGTCCTGATAAGGACCAATAAATGTGCAAAGAGGGAAGAGACAGACTGTTACTGTGTATGTGAAAGCCCTGCGTCCCACTTTAACATTTACAATATCTATACAGAGCACTATATTTCATTATTAAAGATGTAGACAGCAAAAATATTCACATTTAAACTTCTTACAGAAGTTACTCTTCTATGGAGGAAAACCAATTACATTAACAGGGGAAGTGGAAGAGAGGAAATTCTTAGGAGACTTACTCAGCTGACAGTTTCTCTTTAAAACATAGTTTTAAAAAGGAATGAAAGAGGTCTCAGGTATATTTTCCATTTGGAGGTTGTCCTTTTCAGTCTGAGTTATGGTTCATGGCAAAGTGGGTGCTTTTGGTGAAATAGATGAATAACGCCAATTTATTTCTTATAAACAAATGTGCGCATCGAAAAACTGGAATTGCTGTATGTGCCTGGCAAGATCAGTGAAATGGCGAAGAAGGAAATGCGCATGTGTACCCTGGACTTGAGATACGCATCCCCATCAGAAGGCCAACAGGGGCAAGCTGACACGGGTGTTGACCCTGGGTCTGGGGACGCCAGGGTTGGAGCTGGGCCAGTCTCTTTCCATCCCCAGAGTCTCCTGTCTGCTTTACCATGGAGGTGCAGAGTAGCCAAGAAAAAGAATTATGTTTAATATTTATAAGTTAAGCTAGAGAATGATGGGGATCATGGTGGGTGGGAGTGTTTGGTGAGCAAACTTCCGGCTACCACCCCTAACACAAGCACACAGACATACACACATATTTAGCGTGTAAAATGGAGTGTAATTAACAGGGATTCACCACTCTTTTACAGTATTTCTCAAGGTAGAGTTCACAGACCAGGGGAGGTTCTTACAAATGCTTAAGAGGTGGGTATCACTGCTTTAAGCAAACACAGACACCTGCTCCTCATGGCGAGTAAGAAACATAAAGATTAATATTTCTGAAAAATACATGACAACTCTGTCCATACTGGACTTCACCTTCTTACATTACCTATTTATGGCCTATTTGCATCAAATGGTGTTTTCAAGGAAAAAGAATTATAGTACATAAAAAGAGGGAAAGCCAGTGTCAAAAGACTATCATACATGCCGAGGTCAAGAAGCCATGGTTTGGAGTCCTGGTTAGAATTAACAATGACAGTCACACACTGAAAACTGTAATGACTTCCTCTGGGAAACTATGATGTTCTCTATGCACTCCGTGGGGGTGAGTGGCATGGAGGCTGGGAAGGGAACAATGTTCCCTCTGGTACCTCGCTTCGCAGAAGGGAGGGACTGGGCAGGGCCCACGGAGAGGGCCAGGAAGCACCAAGCAGGCCGCACCAGGGGTCCAAGCCTGCGGCGGGGCCCCTGGCCAGGCAGCAGCTCTGATGCCAACAGATGAAGGAAAGGTACGACAGGTGGGGCTTCCTCGTGGCCCGACAGAGCTCTTATTGAAACTTGATGTCTCTTAAATGGAAGCAAGCCTGTCAGCTGAATGACCCTATGCAGTGCAATGGAGTTCAGGTGTTTTAGAGAATCATACAAACAAAGTGGAAGAAGTTTTCTCTATTCTGTTCCTGGAAGAAAAGGGGTGTTTGGGGCACTTTCCACAGCTGAGGGAAAAGAGTCGATTTATGAGTCTTCTGGCAATAGAGAAATCTTAACCTCAGGTTCTGTAAAACTCAGTTCCTCAGCAACAGAGTCCAAGCCGCCACATTCCCACAGGGACACTGATTCTCCCACAGACTGTGTGGCTCCCCCAGGTCAATGGTGCCCTCGGCCACTGCTCCAAGGACAGCGGGGTGGGGGCAGCTGGTTAAAAGTCAGGCACAGCTTGGAAAGAATGGCTTTGAACTGCAGTATTCTGCAGAATACAAAGCGGAGTAAAAGAAAGCCACATTTTCAGCTGTGTTTACAAGTTACATGTGCATTTCAAGTTCAAAGTAGGCAAGAATTGCTGATATCATGTGAGGTGAGATGTGTAAAAATAATCCTAGCAGTAGGCATTACATATCGAGAGCAACACAAATAGAGAAGGGAAACGTAAGAAAAACAGGCTAAATGTTCTGATCCAAAGAAAAAATAGTGAGGCTAAATGATCCAAAACCTAAGTAAAAATTAATGCAAATACTCAGTATATAAAAAGTAAGCACTTCCATATTCTAGTCTTCTTGAATATAATTTTCCCTCAAAAATAATTTTTCAACTATTTCAGGAAAATTTAAAAAATCTGAAATAGCTGTTTTAAATCTGCGTTCCCAGAATCAAAAAGAAATAATTACTTATGATGAACTGATTGCTATACGTTAAACACAAACACACCAATTTTACCTTTTAGATGTTAGAAATAATGGGGCCCCTTGTACCATTCGTGTTCTAGGTTTACCCCCAAAATAAGAACAAGTAAAAGCCAGCCCGTAATTCTTTGTGATAAGAAACAGTATCTTCTCAGAAGGCAAATAAAGGAAATTCAAGATCAGCAACAATGCAGGAGATCTAACAAAATGTCTAAAATGCTAGCATTACAAGGTTATGCATAATCAGAGAACTATTTTTGTAGCTCTGTCACAAAAAGCAGTGGGTGCAGGTGGTCTTGGTAAGTCAGGTGTCTGCACAAAGTGTAACCTGTAGTGGCTGGAGGTAAAGACCTCGTGGTCTGAATCCTCCACACCAGGCCTCTGGCGCCTGACACACGTGCTACTAGCTTCAACTCCTTTCTTCACAGTTTTAATGTGCAACATAAATTTGATCTCGACTCTTTTTTCCCCTCTGTGTGGCATTTCTGTCATGTACAGGTGAAATCTGTACTTTGCAGGAGGGATAAATTACTATGGATTCAAGGGAGATAAGCCGTATGGGACCACACTGGTAAGTACACGGCTGCCTTTCCACTTAAGAGACCAGGAGCCCCCGGAAAGAGAAGATTCCCTTATGTGAGACTGAGCCACGCTTTGGAAGGTCTCTGGAGTTTGGCTGTGTCGTGACTGAAACACAAAGGGTCACCAAGTTATCTTTCAGAGTCTTGGATTGGGTCTTCACATTTTTTACTATGACTTTGGTGTTTGCGTGTATAATTAAACACAACCCAGAGATCTGGGAAGTGTAGAGCCAGGTGCTTTGTTAAGGGATTAATTTTTTTTTTTTTTTTTTTTTTTTAGCATTTCTTCACTCTTTCTAAACTGTCAGCACACAATCTCACTGAACTCAGTGGTTGGAAGAAGGTAAGTTACTACTGGCATTTGCTTTGAAATACAAGCTAGCGCTGGCTGCCAGGGAGAAGAGACACAGAAGGGACAGGGCTTCTCTTGCCAGCAGGATCTTGGGGTAGAAGCGGCAGCATCCTGCTGCCCTTCGGTGTCCCAGTAACTCTTTCTCCCCTTGTGCTGAGAGGCTCGCCTCTTTTGCAGTGTCCGCTGGCAGCATCTGTGTGCCTGCATCCACTGGGAGCCTGAGCCAAAGTCTGATACCGTTTCACAACGGCGCGTCATGAAACATCTACCTTGAGCAGGCCTGGTAAAGAGCCACAAATTCAAGCCAATGGTTTTGCTATCACCTCTGGGCTTAACATGTTAAAGAGAAAACACACTGTTAAAAACATGACGACCCCTGTCACTTTATTGCTGTGGTCTGAGTCATTTGAACTAATTGGTGATTTCCGTATCATCTAAGACAAACAAACCAAGAACTCCACTTAGGGCAGTTATTGCAGGGACACACGGTGTGCAACCCTAGCCACACTTCTACTGAAGCGCTTTCTGTCTTCAGAGAAAAAGTACAGAACTGCCTTTTCCTGAAGGTGACCGACAACGGGCTGGTGGTAACGTAAGCACGAAGATGTACTCTCTCCCGTTTCTTGAGACAGCACACTGAGGGTTCACAGGATGACTTGCATCAGACACAATTTAATGAAAGCTCTCAAATAAGCGATTTTATTCCTATCCATGATTGCAGACATTTACAAAACCATAACATCTGAGTTCACCTTAAAAAATAACTTATATAAAGCAGTGATATACACAGCACAAAATAGTTCAAGGAGGGGGCAGGAGCAACTTTTAATAATTAAAATGTAAACGTGAAAAAAAGAATGGAATAAAAGTCCCTACTTATTTCTACGTAAGATGTCATGTCATATTTTACAATGTCCTGTGGGTCGATGCGTGCGTGCGTGCGTGTCCGCGTGACAGCCGCACACACGATACATCCTCTGCCCACACATATACATACACAGACAGTTATCTGCAGTTCGGTCTCAGGCAATTCTACTGTGCCGCTCCGTGGTGGTCTGAATCGCGTTTGGACCCGCTTTCTTCACAAAAAAGGGGAGAGAGCAGGAAATAAACGGGTTGGCGTGGTGCGACTGAGATCTGTTCACTGTACACGGTGATGAGGAAGGTTCTTCCGGAGGGCTCTGTGGAGGGCGGCTCCGGCATGTCCAGGAGGGGACTCGGGACGCGTCACACACTCATTGTCATGCTCGGGGAGTACTGAGGGGAGAGAGGAATCGCACTTTAGCAGCAGTTCTTTCACAGACCACTCAGGTTCTTCCTGACACAACAAGGATGGCGAGTTTTAACAAGGAAGATGCGTTCTGCGCACGCCCCGATTCCCCATGACAGATGTAACACTATGCACTGCGAACATGGGCTGCTAGAAATTGACATCTTAAACAGAGGAAATGCGTTAATAATAGCACCTAGGGGTGTGGGCAGGATTAAACATAAAACATTGAACACTCTGTATCTTACTGGATCTGTAAAATTCTAGGTGAATAGCGGAGAGAATCAAAACAAACCTGACCCCAGCTGCCCTGAGATGTTTTCCCTCACAGAGTTAGCATCCTGAGTGTCTGTGTTCTGTCTTGCTAACCTCAAGCCAAGGTCCTTTTGGGTGACAGTAGGGACCAGGCTGTGACATGCTTAGCTGTCAGCTTCATGAGGCTGACAAACGTTACCAGGCTTTCAGACATCGGAAAAAGTGGTCTCAAAAATTGTTAGAAAGGCTCACAGAGCAGTTATTTTGCAGATGGCGCCAATCCGGCTCCAGGCGGGGGGTTGGACCGCAGCAGTGTGTCCCGGCAGAACTTCCTTGGGCGATGGACAGGCCCCATGCAGCTGAGAAACTAAGCTCTTAACATGATTTGATTTTAATTTATTTACATTTAGATGTCCACACATAGCTACTGGGAAGCATTTTCCCATCTTTTATTGACTTTTAAAATTCTTCTGAGCGCCATGTGCAGTGCACAAGGGTCACACTCCTCTGTGAGCAGGCGCACGCACACAACACATCTCCGTTCTTTGCTCACCCCGTCCTCTCAACCCATCTCTTGGTCCCTTTTCCTTTTGTGAAAGTGGCCACCACTTCGGGCAGCAGAGTTCCAAATCTCCAAACCGTGAGGTGGGGCAGCCGGCCCTGAAGCGCAGCGGACCCCGGATAAAACAGGCTCTGTGTTAAAATGCATCTGTGGTGCCGAGACTCTGGAGATGCTCTCCTGGAGCCCACGGACACCCGGGTGCTGGGCGAGGCCTTCGGCCACCCTGCTGGTGACTGCGCCCCTTGGAGAGAGGCAGGCAAAGTCCGGTGATCTGCCCCATGTGAGGGCTTAGCTAGCTCAGGGACCGTCCTAGGGAGGGGCGTGCAGGATGGCGGTGGTGCTGAACACCGACCAGCAGAGATGGGCTGCAGACCCAGGGCAGAGGCCGGGCCAGCGCTGAGCTCAGGAGGTCCCGGGGCAGCAGAGCTGGAGGGTAACCCAAGAATGTGCCACCCCTGGGCAGAGGAGGGCAAGGGGGCCACAGGGACCTTGCTGGTCCTCCAGACCTGGCCCACAGTGTGGAAGACATACCTGGTGATCACTGCATAGCTGGCAGTTTTGTTTCAGTACAAGGAAGCTGAGTGTGTAGTTAAACTGCCTCTGCTGTTGGATAACGGTGAATACACAGGGTATAAAGAGGGGAGACCGAGCCAGAACCTCAGCCCTCTGGGAGGCTGAGGAAGACTGCAAGTTGGAGTCTAGCCTGGGCAACTTAGCAAGATCTTGTCTCAAACTAACGGTAACAATAATTTAAAAAATGGCTAGGGGTCTCAGTCAGTGCAAAGGCCTGGGCTTCAATCCTCACAAGGGGGGGTGGCCTGAAAGTGAGAGGAGGGTCAGTCTGAAGACAAACATCCCCTTTTTATCACAATGGCAAAAGGCAAAGCAAAGCAAACCCCCCAACCTTTGCAGACAGGGGCTGCTGGGTCTCTAGCCTCTGCCGAAAAGAGGGGAATGCACCCCACTTCCTCCCAAGCACCGTTCAGTCCCAGCACAAATCACCCAGCAGGTGTCAGTGAGATATCCATGGCTTTCCACAAGACAGAATCACACTTTGATAGTTCACTTTCAGGAGCAAGAATAAACAACAAGAGGATCCATGGACACTGTGTGCACGTACCAGCGCCCCACAAGTGCAATCATTATATACCGCAAACATGCACTCATGCAGATTGTATCGATTTTAAAAAGAGGTACAAAATATCAATGGATATGGGAAAGCATGCACAGAGAAACTTAACGCCTGCTGTCTACAGTGCTATTATTTACAGTAAGAACTGCAATTCAGTGAGTAGTAGCCTGTGACTTTCTATGATGACTGAGACATGGGTGACCAAGACAGCCAGCAGCCACGTGCAGCCATTGGACTCTTGGAATGCGCTCAGTGCAGGTCGGGAACTGAGATTTCCTGGTACTTATTTTTAATTAGTTTACATTTAAGCAGCATAGCTAGATCATTAATCATTATTTCTGAACAAGGACTGTATTGCATATACTGTGCCAATAATCTAAAACATGTAAAGCATTTCAGAAAGGATGGAAAAAGAACTGTTTAAAACCATTTCTGGGTGAGTCGCAGTTATTTCCAGAGTGAAAGTTCATTTATTGTACAGTGTGAAGAACTGAGATTTTAAAACTTCTTGAGTGTTTTCTTCCTAGGTATGCCAATTTACTTGTAGAGCTCAGAGAAAGCAGCAGAGGATAATGTTAAAAATATATAATCATTTTTATTCTAATATACATTGCTAAAAGATACATATATGCAAACACAGACATAGAGTTTTCTTTTATTGGTTGCTACTATCCTTTAACAGTAGCAACGGCTAACATTTTTAACCTGGGCTACTTCCAATGTCTTAGGCAAATCTTGCAGAAAAATTATAATTTGTTCCTGATTTGATGGAAGTTAGGAGGTAGGTTTGGCAAGAAGGAAATTGAGTGAAAAAATAAAGCACAATAACACAGCAAGGGCCAGATTTGATCAGAAAGGGCAGCTTGCACTCCCAGAAATAACTCAGGAAAACGAGGCAGGCTCGAAGGCTGTGTAGTTTGCAGGTCACGGGGCTGCAGAAGGTGCCAGCGCAGGGTCTCGCTTTGTGCAGGACAGCTGTTGCGTCGCTGCCGCACGTCCACCTCAGGGCTGCAGGCCGCACACCCTGGCTGCCTCGGTGGAAGCTGCTTCAAAGGAAGAGGAACTCAGGCCTCCAGGAGACCTCACAGAATGTGAGCAGGAGGGCCTGTCTGCCCGTGAAGAGGAGGAGTGGTGCTAAGTGGAAAGTCACGTTTGGAGCCCAAGAATACCGTGGAGTTCTGCGCTGAGACCGGCTTCAGCGTCTCCTCTGTGACGCCCGCTGCATCGACTCTCAGGGACCGGCGGTGACATTCCTGTTCCTCTCAGCGGCCTGCTTCAAAACCGCCCCGTGAGTCTGCGTCTCATCAGAGGGCAAAATGGCTCCTAGCGCACTTTCAGCAGCGTTACTGTTTGAGTTAGCGAAAAAAACTAAATGCTAAAGATGTTAGTTTAAACTTGCTCAAGTGATGTTTTTAAGTTTTAATGAGTACACATTTGCAGTGCCGTGATCACACGGGTTGTCGGACGCTGGTCCAGTGAAATGTATTCTGAGACAGCCCACCTGCCTGTGAACGCGTGATTTACCTTGTCACGTCTGGTTTGTGTATAGTCCACTGCATCAGTGTGTTCACTAACTCTCTGGACAATGCATATAAACTCCTGCTTCTGCTCCTCAAGAACCCCTGAGTTCTTACTACATTTCTATGTCTCTGCGTCTGCATTTTATTTTCTTAATGGGAAATAAGGGAAAGTTCCACCACTCTGAGACAAAGTGAAATAAGTCTGGTGTTTATGTGACTACACGAAAATCCTGGGGTTGATGTGATTTCTCTGCCACCACAGAACTCGAGGGGCGGGGGCGGTAATACGCCATCCACCTTGTTTCTCAGTCCTGCCTCAGACTAAGATTGTAATATTATTTGTGCTCAGCTGATTATAGATCAACACTATAGGAAAAATGTATTTCTAAAGTAGTTCAGGAATTAGATCAATTGATTTCCCTTGACAAGCATGACGATCTTTTTTTTGAACTTAACCATTTTGTGCTCTGTGCTTTCAAAAACATGTTATCGAGTTTGGACAGTAGGGGGCATCTTTGTTTTCGGAAATAGAAGGCCCTGTTTGCGATCCCAACCCGAGGAGCCTGGGTCCCGGGACCTCTTTGAATCGTTCCGCGCTGTCCAGCGTGCTGGCCCTACCAGGTTGCGAACTTCGGCTGGGTGTTTGTTTTGTGCTGCTGAAGGAAGCTGAAGGAAGCTGCACACGCACAGTTCAGGGACACAGGCTCTGTCCAGGCTGCTTCTGGGGTTTACCTGGAGGTGAAGAGCAACAAACCCCCACTTTGCAGACTGCTGTAAAGCATGTGTCTTTCGGAGTTCCGCAGCACACACTCAAAGCACCAGCATTTGCGTTTGCATTATTGGAAAATGTTTTCTTTTTGAACGCATTCAAGAGTTCTGCATTTCCCTGATTGCAGTCATCACAGGTGATACCGGCTTAGTTATGCAGAGCCTTTGGTCTGTCAGCCAGAATCTCTGTCTTCCTCTCTCTTCTCCCTAAACAGGCCGTGTGGAGACATGATAAAGACCCCCCGTGACAGTGTCCACAGTGGGCCACGCCGGTCACCTGCTGCTGGGTACCTTTCCTTCTGTGACTTCGCTGTTGCTGGTCAGAGAGCGGGCGAAGAGGAGCAGGCCTCTGCTCTCCGATTCTGTCCCATCCTGCTCAGGGGAGGAGGCTGGCCAAGGCTGGCGGGGAAGACCTGCCCTCCCTCCTAGCACACTTCTCTCAGCACGGCCGGCTGGGGCCACAGCGGCAGGCTGGTGTCAATTCCGTGGCAGTGCCTTGAGTCCTGCCGTATACTCCTGACTGCTCCCCACACCAACTTTCTGAGGCCGACCTCGAATCCACAGCCCTACTCCAACAGTGACAACAAGGCAGTCACAGTGACAGCTGGGGGCCGGGTCCCTCCTGTCATGAAGTCACGGGGAAGCTGCTTCAAAGAGGCTTCTGAAACTCCTCTTCATCATTTCTGTTTGCTTTGAAAATACATGGCTTTTATCTATTGCTTTTGTTTTAAAGTTTTATGTTATGTTTCAAATGACGCAGAAAATTGTACCTATTTCTGCAGCACGATGCGATGTGACATTTCCACACTCGACACACCACACTGTTCACATGGGGGAAGACCCCTTCTGCAGCACTGCCTGCTTTACGGTGAGCACCTCCACATCCTTCCTGGCTTGTCTGTGGGGTGCATCGTGCAGCGTCGCCCCCTCAGGGGCCCCACCACGTGCCCCCCGTCAGCCCCCCCATCCCCCCTCGTCACTGGACTGTGGTCCTCACGGCCAGCCTTCCCCGCCCCAGCTCCAGCTCTGCTGGGCAGCATTCTACTCTTGGCTTCCCGGTGCTTAGTGATTTTTACATTCCACCTGTGAGTGGGGCCAGGCCATGCTTGTCTTTCTGCCCCTGCCTCACTTTCACTTCAGACAATGTCTTCCAGTGCATCCATGTTGCAATAATAGGGTTCCGTCCTTTTTTATGGGTGAAATATATTTCACTGTGGATGTGAGCACGTGGGTGTCCATTCTCATGTATTCCACATTTTCTTCAGCATGTGTCAGCTGGTGCACCCTTAGGTTGATTTCCTTTCTCGGCTATTGAGTATGGCGTAGTAGAGCATTACCATTCTGAAAGGTGTTTTTGTTAGTTATGTGAGCACCTGTCTTTCTTACTGGGCTACGTGCTTTCAGGACAGGTATGTGCTGTGTTTATCTCAGGTCCTTAACCTAGTGCTTTGGCTTCAGCAGGCTCAGTAAATGCTGAACTGAACTGATTTATCCTATGCCTCGTTGGCTATTATGCCATGCTATTGCTGGAAGAATTACAAAAATGGAAATAAATATCTCTAATTAGATAAAATATACCTAGGAAAGTGACTAAGTCATCTACAGTCTTGCAGTAAACACTCGAAAGAACCACGACCCAAAGCACAGCTCCTGTATCGTAAGCATTATTAAACGACGTGGCTTCTTGTGTTTCTCCTATTTCCCCAACACTGAGGGCTAAGCTCTTGATCTATCATGACTATGTCATGACCATTCCCTTCATCTTCACTACGTATATGCAAATAAGCTAACGGACAATGGAGATAAAATGTGAAGGCGGGGAACATCACGTCCCTCAGAGGCTGCAGGCTGCGACCAGGAAGTAAAAGAAACGGCGGGCACATGCTTGGGAAGGTGCTTCTGAAACTCCGCAAGTGTTTCCACTATGAAGTAACAGTTTAAAACTCACTGCCCTGGGCCGGACCTCGTCTTCTGCTCTTTCCGGCACCTAGCACACCACCAAGGCAAGAGATGGGCACTCTGGGCTGTGTGTGGAATGAATGAATGAATTTTTCTGCTTCACTTTTGGCTCTGCCACTTTTAGGGAAGTACGGGAAGCGGCTGCTTTGGCCTAGCACGGTCACCACCCCGGGCAATGGCAGGGGTACCACCTCGGCGGGCAGGCCAGTGCGACAGAGCGCGTAAAGAGACAGAGCACCTAAAGATGACTTTCGCAGCCCACGGACAGCACGGGGCATAGGTCTGGCTTTGGAAGGCCCCGTGACAGGTCAGTCGCACGGGAACTTGCGGGGAGGATCAGCCAGGCAACCCATTTCAGTCGGATCCTCTGCCGGGGACGCTCGCTGGGCAGAGACTGTTATTACTGTTCTTGTGACTGCGAGCACAGGAGTACACAGAAAAAGGTTATTTCTTTCAAAGAAATTCCACTTGAAGCATCTTATAACTTTTAAAGGATCACCCATTTGAACTCCAGATAAACAGCAGTAATAATGGCTTTATGCATTTACTCAAATAGAAGGTCTTCGGAAATAAAATGCAGATACAATAACACAGCCAATGAAATACTTACACTCTCACTCTGAAAAGGGTTTAAGAAATTCCCCCCCATCTCGCTGTCATCCCGCGGGGTGCCCGGCTGATTGCTCAGGCTCATGTTATTGGGCGAATTCTGTGAACAAGATTTGGAAAACAGGCATTGGTGAAGATTTTAATTCCTCCCTGGCATCGTACCGTTTCCAATCCCGATTCTAGGGCAGGGTCCCTCAGGCGAGGCAGACTTGCAGTGCTAATCTTAGGCCTCCACCACGGGTTCTGGCTCGTTCTTTGCACCTTGCAAGGTACTAATGCTTTCCCCAGTGAAAATTAAAAAATAAACATACAAAATTTCCCAAAACGACCTACCAAAACTATTTCCCTAGTTTCAGAATCAATATTTATTCAATTTCCCACCCTCAGCTTAGAGTCTGTAAACTTCCCCAGCATGGCTCTGGTGAGGAGAGCTTACCCATGGATGAGGCAGAAAGAACGATAACTCCCTCGATAATCTTACTAATCTAACTTGGAAAGGTCACTGCTTTCATAAACATTTCCCTTTAATTCTAGGTGCAGTTTACAGATCGTACTATTTCTACTGTTTGTTTTTTTTAAATATGAGCCCTAAGGAGAAAAGGAAGACCGCGAATGTAGTTAAGAACAAGAGAGATGCTTCAGGCCTACAGAATTCAAGTGTGTGCTCCACAGGAAAAGGAGGCTGAGGAGTGGGCTGTGTTAGAATCTTTTCCTGTCAGTAGTGTAAAAGTAGATTTAGTTTGAAACTTTCCTCTCAGACAAAGTGGCTGCTAGGAGCAACCTAACCAAACCCAAAGTTAGCAGGGCAGTGCTTCATCACCCGCCTAAATGCAGAGCCTCCTCTGCCGTGCCAGGTGGGCCATGCCAGCAGAGCAACAGGAAAGGCAGGGTGGCACCAGCACGCAGGTGGGCTACACAGCGCCACAACCATGTCGAAGGGATGCTTCCAAGGTGCAGTTGATTGACTGGTGGGAAAGAAAGCTTCAGGGTTAAGCATTTGCATTTGTTATTTCAGAAGGAAGAAAGACTAGATTTTTTTCCTAAGCCATTGGCATTTTATATTCTGTTTTGGAATACGTTTTTAGATTTCTCTAAAAGAAAAATGCTGGAGAATTTTGATTTCACTAAAACAAGTTGTATCGTAAACAAACACTTTGTGAATGAGTTATTCCTGGGAGAATGAGTGAGGCCGAGGCAGGGAGATGTCAAGGACGCAGGGAGGGTCTGAGAACAGAGCCTGGGGGGCCTGGGGGGGCATGTGGGGCCTGGGGGGGCCTGTGGGGCCCGAGTGCCAACAACCTGGGCCAGAGCCACACAATGAGGAGTCTCTCCCTCTGACTTTCTCTGTTTCTTTCTGTCTTTCTGTCTGTTTGTCCCTCTGTCCCCCTTCTCTCTCCTCTGAAAAGTTACCCAAGTATCTAGAAAAGAAACTGTACTTTGAAATCAACACTGGTTAGCTTGATTCACTTGAACACTTAAGTTAAATTTAACTGAATCCGTATTTTAGAATTCATTTTTAAAGGATTAAATAATAAGGTGTGCTCTGAAAACAGGAATCGTGATGCTGACTGAGCTCACAAAGGAAACCAAACTTACAAAAACGCTGTAAGATTGGCCCAACACCTGTAAGTCTTTCCAGCAAAGGTAGCTGTCTTGCTTCGTATTGAGTGGAGAAGTTGGTAACACGAGATAAAAACTAATCTGAGTAGAATGTATGCAAATGTAAGAACACACGCACTTAAAAGTGGCACGCTCACACTGTCCAGTAAAGGCAAGAAACGCACGCGCTCCTTCCTGAGCCTGGGGGAGGCGCTCACTGCGTCTGCTCCCCAGCTGCTCTGCGTCTCTCCCAGACCTGCCACACGGCGTTTCTTCACCGAGTTTGGAAAGTTCGGCTAACTTTAAATCTGGTTCTTGACTCAGAATTACTTAAGAGTTTGAAAGCAATCTTGCATTTTCTGCAATTAAATACTTTAAGTCCCTCCGGTGTTATCGTTACGTTTTCCACGTGATCTCCTTCTAGCACGGGGGCCCCGCCTTCTGCTCTGCTAAGGGGTGGGGAGCAAGGGAAGTGGGGCACAGAGGTGTGCCATGAGCAAGATTCAAGGGTTCGACAGGAAGAGGAAGAGTGTCAGGTCTCCACAGCCCAGGCCTATCCGTTCTTTGGCTCACATCTGAAAAGCCAGAAGAGGAAGGGCCAAATGTTTTGGTTGGGTTTGGTTTTTACTTGAAGGAGCCTCTGCAAAATGTGAATGCGACTAAAGCTGCTCAGAAGGAGGCGTCCCGGGCACGCTGCTGCCTGAGGCCACTGTGCAGCTTGCTGAAGACGCAGGCTGAAGAGCACACGCAAGGCCGGGCTCTGATGCGCAGGGGCCTGGGTGCGGAGCCCCCGCAGGTGGCCAGGGCCGTGGCAGTAGCCGTGTGCAGGCGGCCGTCCCGGTGCAGGGTCCCTGCAGACAGCACCACCCACGATGCACAAAGGAACTCAGGCTGTCAGACTGGCAGTGCAGCCGCTTAGCACAGAAGGAGAGAAAAGATCCCTAAAGAATACAGGCAAAGATTGCTTTTAGCTACGTTGGTCCTGTGAATTACATTTCTTATTGCAGTGGATGTGTGCTTCATTCTGTACTCTAGAAATTTAGTTTAAAATATAGATTTTTAGGGTTTTATGGATGCCACCCTCAAATGATACGACTACATTGCCACCACCCCTTCTCTGAGTGGGGAGGTCTCTGGCGCTGCGAGGTCATCCATGAATATGTCTGTGTGAGGTTACACAAGCAGTGCAACTTGCGCAGTCTCCGCGCGCTGCCGGCCTTCCTCTAAAGGCTGCGTCTCTAATTTGATCCCGTAAGCACCCCTTTGTGTCCTCTCCCAGTTACTAGGTTGTCTCTTCCTCTACTCCCAAAACATGTCCCAAACCTTTTCAACTCTTTAAATTTCAAATATAAAAAATTTCAAATTAAGAAAGCAAGGAAAAACAGTGGTTCTACTATAGTTAGAATAAAGAAATATCAACCCCATGAACTTTGGAGATCCACTTTGATTGTTCATAGGCTGTCAGGACTGAGTTTTACAGGGTGTTGTCTGGACTCTGCTACCAGCTGTCCACCTGCGGCATAGATAAGTTGAGCAGGGACTTGGCCACCACACTGGGAGGATGTGGACACGGCTGTCCTTAGTTCCCTTGTGAGGTCCTACTAGGAGCTTAGGTTCTTAGGTCAGAAAGCTCCAGATTTGAAAGACTTTTTGATCGCTTACTAAACATACTATTATCACATTTCATCTTCCCATATGATTGTTTTTCAAACTCAAAAATATCAATGTGATAAAGTTTAATATGAACTTTCAGTAAGCACTTTCCTTCTCAAAAACAAATCATCTGCTTCTCTCTACCTCAAATTCCTGAAGTAAATGCAAGAGAAAATATTTGCATCCACTGATGAAGTGGATGACTTTTTAGCTGCAGAAAGGATGAAGGGAACTTCACGTTTCATTAAAACAGAAAGCAACTTTGGAACTCTTTACCCACAGCCCGACCAGCGCCATGAGTGCACGGGTGACTCATGGTACGTGCCCCCAGCCGGGCCCGCAAGCCCCATGTGGAAGGGAGACAGTCAGCATGTGTAGCATTGCACAACTGTGGCACACAGTCACACTGGTCCTCAGCAAACGTGTGAAGTAGCGGGTGAATGACAGCTCTATGTTACAGCTCAGGAAACTAGGCTCCGAGATGGAATAGCACGCTCCCACCACCTGTAAGAGTCAAACCAGCATTTCTGATTCTCAGTTGAGTCCTTATTTATTGTAGCTATAATTGGAATACATACGGCCAGAAAGTAGAAAAAAGAATTGAAGTGGCACATAAGCAATGTTTAAAAGGGATAAGGCCAGGCAGCACATAGCTCCCAGCTACTCAGGCAGCTGAGGTGGAAGGATTTGTAAATTCAAGGGCAGCCTGGGCAACTTAGTGAGATCTTGTCTCGAGATAAAAAGCTCACTGGTAACTCACTGGTCAAGGGCCCCAGCGTTCAATCCCTAGTACCACCAAAAAGTCCCACACATAACGAAACCAAAACCTAAACTAAAAGCAAAACAGTGTGAAGGTGGAGTAAGAATTGCAGAATACGTAACCCTGTGCTTGATAAAATGCAGACTTAACTGGAGAATCAGAAAGATGCAGTAGCTAGAAACCTAAGTGGGACTTTGAACAGAATTACTAAGTGGCTACGCCAGGTCACCTCAGATACAAACAATAATGACCAGGAAAAGAACAGGGTGGAAATGAACGAGATCAGGACAGAAAGAGCAGAGGGAGGAGAACTCTTCAGATCGTGGCGCTGCTCATGGGCTGGGAAGAAGACGGGAAAAGTGGAGCCGGGTCCGTTGCCATGGGGAAGGAGACACTGGAAAGCCAGATCGTGAGGGGGAAGATGTGGGGAGAAGAAAGGGTAACGCTGCTGCTAAGAGAAGACTCCAGGGCGGGGCACAGAGGGGCAAGGTGCCAACACCCGAGCTGGCACAGCTGGTGACAGCATGGGCCAGCAGGCCACAGAGGCAGTGCACAAGTGGGTGGTCGGACCTCACTGAGGGGCAGATCAACCAGTCACTCGACTTCTCGCTAAGCTGCGGACAATTCTCATCCTCATGCACGCGGATATGCACTTGGGTTTGTAAAAGTTTCCCTGGTCGCCTCATTCTCTGCATTTCGAAGGCAGACTCCACACCTTGCGTATCTTTGATTTTCAAAGCCCACCACAGCGCCCTGGTGCGTTCATGTCTACAGGGTGAGGCGAGTCCTAGTGTAAACCATGAGAGACAGCGGATGCTCGCATCTAAGCCCTGCGTCTTCCCCACAGCGCTCAGGGCGACGGCCTGCCCACAGAAGCGCACGAGGAGGCCAACTGATGCGTAGAGAATAAGTCAGCGGTCACTGGGCAGGAGAGCTCCCAGCCGCACCACGGCATAGATGCTGACCTCATGCCCAGGAAGGGAGTGGGGAATAGAAATGGAGGCAGATCAAAGATGCCACTTAATCTGTCACTAGGACTCTACTTAAACATTTTAAAGTGCTTTATAAACTACAAAGTCCTGCCCTAGTGTTGTTTTTAAACTATCTATTGTTACGAGCTCTTAGGGGAAGGTTTAGGAAGATGACCCAAGGCGAGGTGGGTGATCCCCTTTGTGTGCTAAGAATCACCTGCAGATGCAGTCAGCCCTCAGAGGTGAGGTTAGGGCTGTCACTGATGAGCACAAAACTTGCTGCGGGAATCACCTGCGCTGGTCAGCCCTTGCCAGAGAGATGTCCTAGTAAGATTATGCAGGAATCTCATTTTGAAAACAGGCTTCGTGCCTACCGTTTCTCACAGACACACACCAGTACCCATTAAAAAGTTTCTATATTTTTAGGGAAAAAAGATTTCCAATGTGCCTATAGAAACTGCGGGGCCAGGGAACCAGACAGTGTGGGCTGTTGGAATTATAGTTTAAAATTTAGTTTTTCAGCTTCAAATCTTAATTTAAAATGTTTTCTAGCTCAATGAATATTATGTTATTTTCCTTGCCTATAAATTAGAAATAGAATTAAAAGCAAAGTCATACTTTAATGAACTTCTCTACTGATAAAAAGCAGACATCTAAGAGAATCATTCTAGTGCTAGCTAATAATTAGTTCTTATCAAGTATTCTAAGTATATTTGACTCTTAGCTATTTTAAATTCCTCATGACCTAAAAAATATTTAGGTTTTGTTCTTCCAAAGAAATACAAGATCTTAGCAAAGGATTAATTCTAGATACTCAAATTATTAAAGGAAGAAAAGTGCAGACACATACACTTTCCTATTTATGCTAAGATAATTTTCTTCTAATTACTTTCTTACTCTATTTTGGGAATAAGAATAATGATTACATATATCAACATTGTCCAATGAAGGTTTGTAAGACCGAACGAATGTATAAATCAAATGCCCTTAACAACTATATCACCACTTTTTCAACTTTACTTCTCCTCACTTGCTTTAGACTTCTTTACATTTCAAAAGATTATCTATGCTGTGTCAGTTTAATTTACAAATATGTAATATCACAATGTGATTAGGCTGGTTATTGCTTGGGTGCCAATAATCATGTACAATATGTCCAGTGTGTGAATCTTAGCAGGCTTAGGGACATTCTTAAAAGACCCCCTCGCCTTTTCCTAAAGCTCACAGACATTAACGTTTTAAACTGCCAGTTAATCATGCCTGGAATTTCCTTTCAATCTTCTATACTAGAAGAACATTCATAAAGTTACAACTCATTCAGATAACCTTGGTGACAGTTCCATGTAGGAAAAAACACAGATAAAAAATGAAACAGAGAATACACAGTGCTTACCTTGGAAATACTGTCCATATCTCCTGAGCCTAAAAAAAAAATAACAAGAAAGCCGTTTATTAGGTAAGGTATCATTTAGAAATTAGTCCTGTAAAGTGAATTAGCCTGATGGCAATCATTTGATGGTAAATGAAAGGAATTCTGCCTAAGTCATTGTTACCACAGTCATGAAAGGGAAATATCAGAGCTCATTTATGTACCCTATTCAAATAAAATTTTAAAATGTGTATATAATTTATAAAGCTATAGATCTTTACACATTTTCAGAAATTATGAAATAGAAAATTTACATTTATAGCAATATATGACAATATTTGGAACCATAATTTACTATAATAACAAAAAAGCAAAGTATTGTTAAGGATTAAAAAAATGACAGCAATAAAAATACATAGTAAAAACTAAAAATGCCTTTCAGATATAATATTGTATTTTATTCTTGGAAAAAATGATAAATATTAATTTTTTTGCTCTTAAATTGATCTACACATTAAGACAATAATCAGATCTTTGCAACAATATTAATTTTAAACTATTTTATTTTTAACAATTTTCTTTCAAAAAATTGTAACATTTTAACAGGACAGCATTAAAATAATATTACCAATAAAGCTGGTGCTTAATACGATTAATGTGTAAACAAACAAGCACAAGTTGCTTATTGCTGCACGTATGGAATCAGGTACACGTGTAAATATGTATAATACTGTTTGTCATAGAATGGCATGAGTCATATTTGAAATCCTTCTGAAGTTCTATTCTGGGAAATAAAATAACAGTTTTCTGACTACATCAGGACATCATCCTTTTGTGACTAACTTTACAATGAAAGGCCTGGAAAGTGAATTGTTTTGAAACTCCTCCAGGAACAGGCTGCGCAGAGCGTGTGAGGGTGGAGTCCACCTCTGTGAGGCCCACCGCAGCGCCCTGCAGCCCACTGTGTACCTGACGCTGTGGCCTTGCACCTGAACTTCAAGTGAAATGGTCCCACGTGACTAATGGCTACTGCAGTTTGCGCGGGTCAACAACAAAGTAACACTGGAGATTTAGGCAGACTAAGGACGGCTCCTTAAAAGCAAAGAAGTCTATCACTGTACTGCCAATAGTTTGCAAATAATGTCTGGGTTACCAAAGTTACACGTATTTTCAAAACATCAGCTGGAAGCATTTCCTGCCCTTGGGTGGGGACTGAAATCTATATGTAACCTAAACTGTTCATAAGCAGTTCATTCAATTTAAGCAAAAGACCCTTTCCTAAAGGGTCTTGTATCCCCACTGTCAACTTTTACATTAGTTTCTGATCATGCCACTGAAATACGTACAAACAAGATAAACTTTTCATTTAGTTTTGCATTTGTTCTGCCTAAAAATATACGGGTGCCTTGGTTCACGAATGCTTTTGTTTGCAAACAGTTCGGTTCACAAACAGAAGAATTTGGCAAATTTTTGTTTCTGTTTGTAAGCTCTGCTTTGGGTGACAAACATGATCACAGCCATCTTTCCCACACAAACACAAACACAAATGTGCACATCTTTTCCAAAATCACGGGACAAATTATGCTCAAGAGCTGGGGCACCATTGTCATGTATTTGGTGACCCAGGTGATTTTGTGCCACTCATCCCTATCTGTCACTTTTGTAAAGCCTTTATTCACTTTGTGCATATTTGGTTTGTATTGCTAGAAGACATTATGAATGAAGTATGTTTTCACATCTCAGTAACATATTGAATCAGCTCTATCATGAAGAGGATGCAAGCAGTGCTGTCTCATAGGGGAATAGCTCACATTATCCAGAATATGACTGCCAACGCTGAGGAACTCATGCGGAGAACTGCAGCTCCTCCCAGACTGTGTCCCCAGACTGCTGGCGACAAAGAAGCCAGCTGGAAAGACGCTGCAGTGCCCTGGGGAAGCGTGAGTGATGGGAGCACAGAGTGGCAGCCCCTCCTCTGACCTCAGGACACCTGGCCTGGGACAGGTTCGGTAACTACCTGTGTCTACAGGTGAGGCTGAGCACTTTGTGCGCCTGCTTCCCAAAGGATGTCTAGTGACCACAGCCAACACGCTGTAGATTAAATATTCTGAGGCAGAAGTTGACATAGCTGGAGATGGAAGAACTGTGCACACTGTAACATCCACGTGCAGAATTTAGGTTTTCCTTTTAATTTATTCTAGGTAAAATCCTTACCTAGAGAGCCATTCATGTGATGTGACTCCATTCCTCCTAGTCCTCCCATGGGACCATCCGATCCAGGGCCCATTGGAAACTATTGTAAAAATGAGGAAAACAACCATGACGACCATGTTGGAAGCACTTTTTCTCAGTGTCAGAGTACCTATCTTGATAATTACAAGACACAATCACAACTCATTTTCATTTTCAAGTAATAGTATTTGCTTGATCTTTTTTCACCCCATGGATTTTCTGGCTGGGCTGCATAACCTTCTACCTCATCTTCTCTATGTTCTGGACACTCAGGTTAAACTTCAGCTATGTCCAAATTTTTCTAGTTTAGATATCCCTAACCAGAAAGCATACATTCCAATGCAAACAAGAAGGTGAGCATTCTCTCCTGTGATTCTGGCAATTTTTCTATATAAGCCATGAGTAGTTCTTAGAAGCTGCTGAAAATATTGGGTTACTAGGAAGAATAACTCAATGTCATACGCCAACATTAATATTTTTCTTAGCATGCAATCTACCTTTGTTCAAATGGACATAATAAATCATATCACAGCATAGGGTAAACACATTTAGCTCCGTATGGATGGCTGAATGGAGCTAATTCAACTTGGCAGTCTCGACTATGCCCACTTAATGACAATCAGTCTACACAGTCACATGTAACATTTTGTAAGGTAGTGGAATCCTCTTTTCCTTTCAAGTGAAATCTTATGTTGGAAGCCTCGTATGAAATAGCTGTGAACAAACAGGCCACAGCAGTGGTGGGGTGGGGGACAGTGACCTGCCCATGCTGTCTTCTCTTTACCTCCCTAGAATTCTTCTGAGGAAACCCGAAGCCCAGTTTGAAGACAAGTTATGTATCACACATTGAGGATAAGACAATCTACTGAAAACATTTTCTCTTTAAAGTTCTCACCCACAGAGGCTTTCTTCCATGCTGCATGGTGTAAAACACCATGGCATACGTGTGTGTGTGTGTGTGTGTGTGTGTGTGCGCGCGCGCGCAGATGGTGTGGCTGCAAACTATAAAGGCTATGGGGGAATCAGCCTTCAGCAGGCCAGCCTGCATAGCACCACGCGTGTGCAGAGATGCGGTGACCTTCTGCCACCTTGAGCATGCGCTGTTCCTGTGCTTCTATGCATTTTCCCAGAAGAATGACAATTTTGCTTCCTAAAACTGAGGATCTAAAAATGTGTGGGTTAACTCTGTATTAGTGTGTATTGTTCTTATGCTGTTTTGTAAATGGATGTCTGTTTGTTAATCTGTTTTCCTTCTTTTATTCTTAAAATAAATTTAAAAAAATAAAAATGTATGGGTGAATTTTTAGCAAATTACTTGGAATATGCACATCTCACTGCCAAGTCAAAGGGGATAACTTTGAACTCCGTGTTGTTATTTAGCTCTTATCAGAAGCACAGTTTGGATGGAGGCTGAGAAACTGGAGCTAGAGCCCAACAGCAGCGACTTTATATGGCTTGGACCTTCGATCTGGCCCCATAGTAGTTTTGAAGATTCTCAGACTTTTTTTGCCATGTAGAAAGTATATCTTCCCACTTTTCCTCAGTTTCAGCTATCCTGTATGCATATGTGCAATTTGATGTTACACACATATTTATAACTATGTTGTTTATTGAAATTAATATAACTATATTATAGTTTTATGTATTTTTGTTAACATGTAGCTCTTGTCATAAATATTTTCCTGGAAGCCTTTGTGGGAAACAATTATAGCCATATACTTTATAACAAACATGCAAGTTTTTTCCTAGAGAACTATCTCAGTTCCACATTTAAACCCTAGATTTTACAATCCAAAGAAAAACAAGCATATCCAGCAATCTGCTTTCAAATTTAACAGTATTAAAAAACTCACAATGGAGAAAATGTAGTTATGTTAAAAATCTGACCAAAACAAATGATTATATGTAACTTTTCATTTAAAAATAGTATTAATGTTTAAGCATTGAAATAGAATAAGATGAAAGACCAACATTTTGTAATTGATTAGGTTCAGTTTCATATTTAAAGTATATTGATAGAAAATCTTTTGTATGTTATACATTTGTTTCCAGTCTAGAGCATATCACTAATTTTTCTATTCTATCTCCAATAAACTCCTGGATAATAAAATATAATTTTTACATTTTATCCAGGAAATGGAGTGGACTTAGAGGTTGAAAGTCTTCGAATGCATTTAAGGAAGCATATTTACATTAGGTCTGTTAGGTCCAGGAGGCACTGCATTCATTAAAGTATACATGTTGTCTCCAGAGTTGGTTGAATCTGAAACAAAACATTATTTGATTAATATCTTTCTTCATAATTTACGGCCAAGTCATCACAACGTAACAACTATGATGATCTGGGCGCACACGGGTATCAGGCGCACCTTGGCAGGCACTGCTGAGGGCTGGAAACAGCGTGACGGTCATTTCCTGACCCCCAAATTATCATTTGCAGGGCACAAATCAGGTACGTAAGAGAAACACCATTTCAAAAATTCAGATCTAAGCAACAGTACTTGAAAAAAAATTAAAATTAAATTTTTTCTTTTTTAAATAAGACAATTTTTTCTTACTTCTCTGAGCAATGACATATAGGTATAGGACTAAAATCTCTTAAAATCCAGATTCAATAGCCTTTCAGTTTTCACTATTTCCTTAGGTTTGATGTACAGAAATTTTAAAGATAGGTCTTTTTTTTTTTTTTTTTAAATCTATGGTAGAATAGCTTGGTTTAATTCCAAAAGAAAGAAATGAGAACAAGTCCAACTCGAATGAAAGTAAAAGGCAGATTTCTGCACTAGAAGAATTTGGGCAATTTTTTACTCATTTTGTTCTTGATTCATTCTAAATTAACTAAACACCCATGCAACTACATGTAACTTGTTAAGTATTTGTACAATTCACATTTCGTATAAATTACCTAGTTTTAGTTCAGTTTCTGAGGACGTGGTTTTGTGATGTAAAACAGAATGCAAAGCTAATTATTTTACAGGAAGGAAACATCAATTTTGAAATATAGCTCATTTCTTTACAGTGACACTTTTCTTGAACAAATATAGTAGCACACCTATGTTTCTTGAAGAGATGTGTCCCCAAAGATGTGCTCTGCACTGATTGGAGGCAGAAGCTGAGAGAAGCCCAGGAGGGAATCACAGTCGCTTCCGCTCTGTTCATGGGAGCCCGCAGCGGGCCCCAGCAAGTTTGCACCTGTACTGCGCCCATGCCTCCTACAGAGTCGGAGCCCACCGCGGCCTGTAACCTGGGGTCGATTTATCTCTAGATGGGCACGGCGGCACGGATGACGTGGGCACGGCCGCGGAGCGGAGGCCTGCTGGGTGCAGTCTGCCTCTCCCACCCTAGGCACACAGCTCCCTGGGACCCCGTCCCAGCGCTGCGCTTCGCTCTCCCTCCAGCCTCCTCTCCCGGCGGCCCTGCTGGATTCTGCACACTCAGGGCCCCCTTCAAGCGTCGCCTCTTCCATAGCTCCGCGGCCTGACACTGTGCGGCGCATGGGAGCACCTTGTGTTCTGGCTAGGATTTTGTTTGTTGGGTTTGCCTTTGACAGCCAGCACGGCTATAGTAACTCACTGAGAGAAGGGAGGCTCTGTCTCACCTCTCGCACCTCAGGGCAGTGACTGTCCCCCACCTTGTACTTAACGAAGGGGCAAGCTCTCTACCAGGAAGGTTATCTTTCAGAAAATCTGGACAGCTTTTCAAACAAATGAAACCTTTACACTGGTTTTCAACTGTAGAAAACAGTTTTATCCCCTGTGAAAGGAAAAATGGTCTGTATACTTTAAGTGTGCAAAACTTTGATAAATTTATTGTTTTTAAGAACGATGGAGAATATAATTTTATTTGAAAAAGGAAAAAAACAGTAGGAGACAAGGATGGTATTTCCTAGGAAATGTTGAATTCTTTCTCATGTACAGAAGATCTTTGTAATAAAGTAGATATTCTGCACTGATTTTGAGTGTTGTCTTACTATTACAGGAGTAACTATGACAAAGGATGAATATATAAAAATTATACAAAAATGCTAGGAGAATACATTGGTGGCAATTTCCAACTTGAAAGGAGGAAGTGATAAGATCATTTATATCCTGACATGTCCAGGGTGTTCAAACAGTTTTTACTCCTGCATGAAGTGTTTGTTAGTACATGCTGCCTTCATAAACTCAACACGAACACCACAGCCTAAGAATGTAAATGTAGGCATCATACAATTCTACCTTCAGTGACTTCTGCTTCATTTATAAGGAAGGTGCCTTTAGGACAGAGACCATAAAATATTTCTAAATACTGTGCAAAGAGTGAGTGAAGTATTATCCAATTTGTTTTTGAAAATAAAAAGTTCAAAACTTAAAAGTTATTTACTGGCATGATTATTGGTATTAGATTTAAAATATCCATATGCTTTAGATTTCAACAACCAGTTAGATACCACGAACAGGGCAGCAAAACATTACTACAAGTTGTTCTACTTAAAAAAGTTTGCTATCTCTTTCATCAACCAGCAGTCATTACTGAGAGCTTTGGCATATTTCTCTTTTTACACTTCTTAGATTTCTGCTCTCCCTCATATACATACATACATATACATACACACTAACAAAACTGAGACACACTGAGTCATGAGCATCTATTTTTCTATGTCATTGGAAATTCTTTGATAATAATTTTATTTATATCATATATCATAAAAATTAAGTTCACTAAAATTGGACTAGGACTGAAGGTAGTATCTACTGTTTCACTACTGAGTATAATAAATGAGCACCTGTACACAAATCTTGGTTTTTTCTCTAGTCACTTTTAGTACTGCGGTTATGAAAGTCACATGGCAGGAACCCTTTCAGGGTCCTTATGACACAAAGCACTTTCTAGGATGACTGCCAACGTAAGCTCTAGTCATTAATCTCCAAACACATTTCATACTCTGAAGTCTCAAGGAGAAAGAATAAAGTTATTGGAAATAACTATGTGAAATGATTATGGATATACTGAAATATACTTTAGTGTAGAAGATTTATAAAACTTTTCCTACTACATAGTAAATTTATTAATCAATAAATTCCCATAGACACGCAGGGTGATTCACTGTGAGCACATCTATGTGCATCTTAGATGACAGATGTGGTTGGTGGGTCTGACCGGCTATTTAAAACCCAACAGATCTGTGCATTTAATGTTTTACTTATGTAAAAATTGGCTAATCTGTGAGATCTGGATCTTTTTCTCAGTTTCAAGGAATCTTTAGATTAGATAAATTATTGGGCAATTCACATAAATCAGCACAGTTTTCATACTGACTAAGTCTGTTACTCATACAATAGAAATTTTCTAAGTCGCTAGAAAATAGTGACTTAAGAAGTCTATTTCGTCCTTCCTGCTGCCTCTCCCCAACTTCTTTAAACCTTGTGAGACAATGAATGTGACCAACTGTTTTTGTGATTGTATTCTCCTAATCAAATGTTCACATAGTCAGTTTGATTACAGTACCTGCGGGGCTAGGCATGATGGGTGTTCCTGGTGGCCCTCCACCTCCTGGTGGACCCTAAATAATTACAAAACATCAGGATAAATAAGGGATTTCATTAAATAACATAAGGAAAAAAAAACACAAGTTAGACAATCCAATTTTTTAAAATAAATGAAATCTTTTCTCCATAATTATTTTCTTTGCACAATCATTTCAACAAAACAATGAGCCCAAAACACTGATTTATTATTCATGACTTCACCACACAGGTGTAATGAGGTTAAGCAGAAACTACATACTGGAGTCTTTACAAATACATAAAATAGAAATAATTAATGTGTACTCGTGATTTATTTTACTGCAATTTCCTTACATTTTGTATCACTGGTTCTTATAGGAAACCAAAAAGATGTCTAAAAACCAAAAGATATGAATTGGGAAATTGGCATTTTATAAAAATACAGTTAGTGAGGAGCAGCGCCGCTGGCCTTGCCCTGTGCTCCTAAAGCTATAGTTCACAATCAAACTCAGTCAGAGCTCAACGGACTGCAGACTTTGATCAGTAGAGCACTGTGGGAATTCAGGCGATGGATTTCAGAAGTTTTCACACACCCAACAGGTAGTGATCAGATTAACTCTTAAGAGATGAAATTGTCACTGTATTTTGAGTAAGTACATGACCTATCAATTATTTCAAATAATATATGTGCAGGGTTTGATATTTTTAACATATACCTTAAATTTCCTTTCAAATAAATGTCTATCATTTCATGAAACTACACATCAGGCTTCTCCTTAAGTGACTTTTAGAAAACAGTAAGTTTCACCGAGATTTTCTTGCTTCCATATGAACTGAAGAAGATCAGACTCTCTGTGTCTGTATATGCTTTGGGAGCATTAACACTAGGTCTGTGGGCCTAGGGCAAGGTGTGCTTCTCACTGTTAGTAACATGCTGTTTCCATGGGGGTGAATGCTCACTGGATTTCCTCTCATACTTTTTCCCTGTTCCAGTTGCCCAAACCACCTAACATTCCTCCAGGACAGATTTTCCTTGTGGCATTTTACCCGGGCATTTCTGTTAGCATTGCCCCATAAATACTGTAACACACCATTTTTTATGATGGACTTGATGTGCGACAAGGGTCACAATGTGCCACGGGTGACAAGGACATCTGTGAGTTCAGGAGTTTACATCAAGCCTGCTAATTTAACTTCAGATCTACAGGAATTTCTGGAAAAAATTAGCATGTATTAAATAATAATGAGAAAAATAAGTGTTCTCAGTTTCTACAAATAATAAATGAAAAGATCTCTCCAAATTGCTAGAGGAAGTTTAATGTCTCCTAGGCCTTCGGGGTGGGGAGCAGGCTGGGGAGAGGGCATGTTATTCTCTGGAAGAACTGCAAACCCGAGCGTGTCCTCCTGTAACTGGGATTCTCTCCCTGTGATTGGCTGGGGAGTACTGTGCTGGCTTCCGAAACGTATGTTGAAGTGAAACTCAGTACTCCCGGCAATTCTGGCCATATTGAGAACTGTTTCACTCATGAACATCAGCATATGTACTGAGGATGACAGATGAAATGACTCAAGATGTTCACTTCTTGGCCAATACACTGGGGCTCTTCTTAACATCTGGACAGCTATTTTACTGCTCCAATAAAATGTAGCATCAGCTCTTACGAGCAAGCAAATCCGAATGTACTTACCACGTAATTCCCCGGCGAGGCTGAGGAGTAGGGTATCTGGAACATGAACAGGACAAGACACGGATTTTGATGCATGTGATGGCAGGGGCTGACTTTATCAACTCTCAGAAAGTATCACGGAGGACAGTAAAAGATAATGGAATTTACAGCTGTTATAAGTGACAGAGAATTTAGTAACTGTGCATTATCTTTGATCTACAAGAAAAAAATGAAGATTTTAGATACAGTAATTTAGATAGCCACAGCTTTAAGTTATACTGGCTGTGGGTCAGTTGTACACACTGCTTGATATTAATGACCTATTCTGTAAATAGAAAGTGTGTAGGTATAAAGCTAATGCTAAGAAACCAGAACATTTTAAATTAGTAGCCTTTATAGATACAAGTTCTAAACTACTTACATTTAAAAAAATGACAGTTCACTACATTCATGCTGTATGGGTAATGCCTGATACACAGTTCTCACTTTTCCCTTGTCCTTGTCCAAGTAGCAGGGGAAATTAATACAACAAGTGCAGAATGGGGATCAGATACGGGCAACAAATTCCCCTTTTCTCTCCAAATCAAGCTCTTAAACAAGCTCCTTCAGAGCCATTAGAGGGCATTAACATAACAGTGCTGTGGTAATTTAAGAGTTGACAAACTGAAAGAATAATATTTAAAGTAAGCCTTTGAGTGTCGATATTTACAAGGGAAGTTAAGGCCAAACATTTCCTGTTTTCACACAAGGTACTTGCTCACTGGAATGAGACCCTGTACAACCATGAGATACGTCTGCCTTATTCTGAAAAAGCCCGTTCATTGGGTCTACCTGGAGGCAGAGAGCCTTTAGAGTAGTGCGACAGCGTGCTGCTGCTCCTCCACCCACCACCTGCCATGTAATGAAACAATCAACAACACACAGTCCTCACACAAGAAAAAAGACGTGCACCAAAGTCAGGCTCCACCCTGAGTAATTCTCTGCTCCTGTCTGGAGTTACTTAGCATTACGTGATTGGCAAAACTTTCCTCACTTCTGGCTTGGTGACAACTTGCCTTAAGCCAGGACCCCAATTCTTCAAGGCCCTGCTGTGGCTGCTCAGCCCTGCTCGTGTCCAGAGTCATCAGAGGAAGGGACTACTTCACAGAGAGCTCTCAGGCATCCCACGTTTCCTCCATTTGGGGACAGAGGCCAACTTCGCCTCCTTGAGCTGTTTTCAGCTCACGATTGATAGGAACCCGGCTATGTAAGGACTGAGTTGCCGACCACAGTCTCTGCAGCCAAGATAGCAGGGCTGGGGAACCTCAGTCAAAGGATTCAAGAGCAATAAAACTGTCAACCTTAAGTGACAGGACAGTTCTCTTAACTGCCAAAGTTCACTGCTTGGGACGTTTGCTCTGAACTTCCCAAGGTCCTGCTCGGTTTTCTGCCTTTACCTCAGCTATTCTTTTCCTTTGTTTGAAAGCCCCAGAGAAGTCTGTGTCTTAGCTCCTGGAGAGTTTTGACCTTCCTGGACCCCACAAACTGCATTTGTCTTTACTGATCCTTTTCCGTAGGCTTGTCCATAAGCTTGGGGGGCTGATCAGCTCTGATACCAAATCCATGAACCGCGCTTCACAGTGCTTTAAACGCATGCATTCGCCTGCCCCGGTCAGTAACCACTGGCCCGAAGGACGCGGCCTCTCTGCACGGTCTCAGCGCCCGCTCCTGTCTTCCATCCAGCCTGTCGCCATTCCGAAGCCACTTCAGGACACGGTTCATGGCCTTCGCTACTTCACAGCCTCCAGTCCTCCCTTCCATGGACAGGTATCTAGAAGCTCTTGTACAGACATCGGAATGATTCTGTTCTCCATGACACTTACAAACAGTTCTCTATTTTCCTATACCGTAACTTCCTATAGCGAAATCCCCGACTCTTCCATGCTTGCTTGGCAGTTCTCTCTCTGCTGGTTTGGGACTAGGTTGCCTCTCTATGTCCCTCATGCCCAGCAGCTTTCTGTTTCTCTCCAATATCTGAAATTATTACCTTAAAGCCTACTGTGTTAATTCTGATCTCTCTGATCACCTCTCTCCAGCTTTTCTGTTTATAGCTGATATTTTCCCTTGGGAAACAAAAGAAAGCTGACGAGGCCCCAAATATGCTCACGCTCTGCACTGTGCACCTAATCGTTGCTCCCGTCGGGAGGCCGGTGTTCTGGTGTGGCTTTGTGGAGGCCCTGGGCTCAAGGCGATGTACCGCAAACCCAGTCACCTTGGCGGGGGCTGGGTGGGGATCCCCGAGGCAGTATTTGCCCATCTCTGTGGGATAAACACTCCCAGATGGCAGATCTCAAGTCACCGGTGTAACACCAGCTCTTGCAGTCCCGCAGTACCCAGCATCTGACTCCTGTGCACAGGTCTCCTGATGGGAAGACCATCCTGCGAGGACAGTCAGGCCTCCTGTCGTACGTTAGAACCAAGTTCTTGCTGCACCATAATGTCCAGCTCAACACTGCGTTTACAGACTTAAATGTCCATCTACTCATCCAAGGTAGAAATGAAACCAAGCTTTCTGCTGGCCTCTGAAGCTCGCTCCTCCCAACAACCCCATCCTTTTAAGTCCCTGTACCTTTAAAGGTTTAAATTTTTCATCCTTATGGCTCCTTCAAGAAGAGTTAAATATCATTGTAATTCTTCAGTGCTTTAAAACACTTCTTATCTCATCCAGTTGCCCAATTTCTCTCCGTTTCGCTGCAGGCAGCTTCTTGATGTCGGATTGCACTGTTTCTCCTCTGCATTCCTCAGTGACCTGATGAATCAGCATTTGGGAATCCTGTCCTGCCAAGTTTCCAGAACTTGCTTTTTTTTTTTCTTTGTCTTTTTGAGACAGTCTCGCTATGCAGTTCAGGCTGGCCTTGAGCTCTCTTTGTAGCCCAGGCTAGCCTTGAACTCCAAACTATCCTCCTGCCTCAGCCTCCCCAGTGCTGGGATTACAAGTGTATAGCACCATGCCCAGCTCAGAATTTGCACTCTTGACAGTCATTAGGAGGATGTGATAGCGCAGTGTCACAGATGTAAAACAACATGGGGTGGAGTGTTCCGTGGGCACAGGAGACACACTTGGGGGGGGGCAGCTAGGACTTAGAGATCCTGCGTCCACCAGAGCGTGAGAAGGTTGGTGAGACGGGGGAGGAAAAAAAGGACATGAGAAAGTGCATGGCTTCTTGGGGAGGGGCTGCGTCATTTCCATGCGTGGAAGGGGTTGTGAGTGATGATGCCGCATGGCCAGGCCAGGACCAACCGTGAACTAGAGGAAGTGAGAAGCCTTAGGTCCCACAGAGACGCGCTCAGTTTCTGTTTCCGGGAGATGACTAGAGGCATCCTGGAGCACGAGGTCCCGAAGAGATGATCCAAGAGCTGATCCAACGAGCTGTGGGAGGTGCTAAGACAGGCAGGGCTTAGAAAATTTGAGAGTCATTCCGCAAGTTACTTGGCAGGGCTTGGATTGAAGCAGTTTGGCAGACGAAGGAAGATGAAGGTTCATTCCTGGGGCTTCAGCACAGAGACTGGGTGGGGGAGGGGTCGCTTGTGTGGACATGGAACTCCGGCAGTGGGTGTGTCTGGAGAGAGGTGGACTTTGCAGGCGCTGATAGATACCGAGGTGGACCCGCTCTCTAACCATGTAGAAATATCAGTCCAGAAATGATTAGAGCTCAGCACCAAAGATAGAGCTTCAACTGAAAAAAATTCCACTTTGTCCTAGAGACAATATCTGAGCTAGAATTAAATCACCAAATTTTGAGATAATTAAACCATATAAAGGCATTTTAAAAATCAGCAGCCCAGGAATGCAATTAGAAAACATTGCCAACTGAGAAAGGGTAGATAATCTCACTGACGGACGACTGAGGAGACTGAGGGGTGGCTGGCTGGGAAATAACTACACTGGATTCGTTCTTAAGGCCAAGCTGAGGCCTTGTCGCCATTCTGAGACGACACACCCAAAGGAAAGAGTCCAAAGGACCACTGTAGTGACACTGTGGGAAAGTAAAGAAACGTTACCAGAGCAAGAAAAATAAACGACAGACATTTATAAAAACCGAGCAATCACATGCTCCAGACAGAAGTCTGTCTGATGAGCACCGATGAAGTTCTCCTGAGTGGTTGGTGATGGGGTCCCGTGCACCTTTCAGATCAGGACTTTGGTGGGAGGGGCAGCGGGCTGGGAGGTCAGCTTCAGAAGTGTCATTCATCACCCGCAGAGTTCCTGGTGCTGGACTATGAGGGGAAAGACGGAGGCCAGCACTCCTGGCCTAGTGAGATGGTGGCCAGGGAGAAGACAGTGGGGGACAGGGAGGTGGCCTGCGACCGGGAAGCACGCGAGTGCGGGCCTGGGGCTGAAGGCTGTCTTGGGGTTTGGTCCACGGTTCAGCATTCACAGAACATTCCAGTCAATGCAAAGAGACAGAGGGGAGGCTGACTTGGAAGAGCGAATAAGCAGGGTACTGCGAAGAAGAGATGGAACACAGATAGTGGAAGGGTTAGTGCTGGAAGGAGGAACACTTCTCTGACTGAGGCAAGAGAGAGAACTTGGACTGAAGTGTGATGTTACTGGAGGTGGAGGGTAGAATCTGAGGAGATTCAAGTCCAGTGGTCTTTACTACTTTTCTGTAAAATACAAGACAACTTTGGTCAACAGAGAAGGGACCAGAGATAATACAAGGGCCACAAGGAGACAAATAAAGACCCGCAGCAATCACTGAGGGAAGCAAGAGTAGTAGCGGACTAAGGAAGTGTGCACTAACTTGCTGGTCAACCATCAGAGAGCACTTGGCTGAGGGTCGACACCGTGGACTCAAATGATAGCATAACATGTCCAGTGTGATACAGAAGCATGCACTAAACACGGGGAGAAAAGCAACAGGGTTCTACAACATACTTCAAATGTAACATTCAAAACCCCAACTCCTTTTCTAGCCTCTAAAGCGGATTTCTCCCTACATTCCCAGCTCTGCTGTGTTATTACTGTTTTCCCAAACACTCGGATGCAAAGACTTGAAATCGCCTTCAAATTTCTCCTTCTTTTTGTCCCCAAATCCTCCAATTCTGCCCCATACTCTTTAAAAATACCCATTATGGTGAGATGAAAGAGAAAAACGAAGATGTAGAAGATAAAATGAGAGCTAGAAAGTCAGAATCATAAAATACAAGAATCGTTTGATAAATGAGAACATTAAGGGTCATATATAGTGTCTGCTAAGCTAGGCAGAAATTTAAGAGCTGCTATGAGGATCCAAATATCCGGAACTGCTCTGAGTCCTAACACCCATGAACGTGGTACTGTGGGAAGGGGCGGGGAAACCCTGGAGAGCTTTGTTTTCTAAAGACCAGTGAGACTTTGGCTCACAGTTTGCTTCAACTGGGAAGCATCAACCCACCGGTTAATTAGAAATCAGGAAGGGAAGTAATGAGCTATTATCTGTGCCAGCGGTAAGATAAACAATGTTACTTTTTAGCGCTCTTTTAAAAAGTGAGCATCTATTTTATAGAGAAGTGCCTCCATGGAGAATATGTTAACATTTTCCTCTGTCTTCATTGCTGTAGTATGGTAGAATCTCCTTTCTTCCTTAAAGGAGCACCCTTTCTCCTTCCTGCCACACTGGCAAGTGTGCACTGCACCACACTGACCCTCTGTTGCTCCCTCATCCTGTGGTGAAGCAGATCTCATTACACGGATCCCACACGGTGTGGATGGGGCCAGGGCGCCGGCACTGACCAGGTCTGCAGATAGTGTACTACACAGCTGTGTAGTGAGCAAGAGTTATTTTTGGTTCTTTTGCTTAACTGATAGAGTTCTGCTCTTTTGGTGTAAACCTGGAGCTTCTCTCTGGCTTCTTGCTCTGATGAGTGGAGAACAGCTAGGAAATACACAGAACTAGGGTCTTGATGACCTGATTGGAACTCTTGGAGCTAAATGTATCCAAAGTCACACTGACACAGGTATTTCAAGAGGATAGGCAGACCAGTCTGAAGACTCCATGGCCGAATCTCAGTCCATTTTAGCATTCTAAATCCACTGAATATAACACTCTGTGAGCATATGTGTTATTTTAGAACAGAAATGGTGAAGAGAGACAACCCTTTGTTGCAAGAGAAAACAACTCACCTATGGAGCAGGAGAAGAAAACATAGAAAATGTCCACTTGGGAACCAACCAAGTTAAATAAAAAGGGGCGATTCATTTACGAATCACCAGTGGATGCCAAAAATACCTGATGAAAGTTCAAGGAGGAATAGGATGTCTCCTGTAGTTTTTTTGTTTGCTTATTTTCTTTTCCTCTGTTTTCTTTTTCTTTTCTTTTCTTTTTTTTTTTTTTTGAGACTGGGTCTTGGTATGTAGTTGAACTCACTATGGAGCCCAGGCTGGCCTTGAACTAACATCAAATCCTCCTGGCTCAGCCTCCTGAGTGCTGGGATTACAGGTGTGCACCTCCACACCCAGCCCCTGTAGTTTTAAAGTATGTTTGCAAGTTAATAATTAGCAAGGGGAAAGCAGTACTTTTGCAGTTTTAGAAATCTGATGAGAAAGACCTTAACCAATGCTCAAAATTAACTTGGCTAGTCATGAGATAGATGGATGGTTGGTGCCTCCTGAAACAACACCCCAGAAAAACACAACACTACTTCTGTGGAGTTTCCACCAAACTTACAGGACACACATCTAGTCATGAGGAAGCATCACATGAAACAAACAATGGGATGTTCCAAGAGCAACTGGCTGCATGCAACACAGCTGCAAGGTTCAAAGGCAGGGAACAGCTGCAGGGTGGTCCCAGGTTCTGAGGTAGTGACACAGCAGATGAACACACAGGAAACCTGGGGCTCTCTTTTCTTATACATATCATGGGACAATTGGTAAAATCTGAAGAAGGTTTGTAGGTTAGAAAATTGCACTGATGTGTTCATTCTCTTCCTTTAACGATTGCTTTGGAGTCATGAAAGAATGTTTTCAGGAACACACGCTGAAGTAGTTAGGGATAAAGTTCTAGGAAATGTTACGTGTCAGGGAAATGTGTGTTATACAGAGGGAGGAAATGATAAAGAGAATGTGTCACAACATTACTCCAGGGAGTCTGGGGAAAGGAGCTATGGGAATTCATCCTTTCAAGCTTTCTGTAAATGTGAAGTTACCTCAAAATAACCCCAGTGAATAAAGCATACCTGAAAACAGCAAAAATAAAAATCCCACTTTCACATGCCGCCTGGACGCAACACAGACTTCCTCTACTGGTACACACTGGAAAGCGTCTGTGAAGTCAAATGTGCTTGCCAGGCAGGCACTTTGCCGCTGAGCTAAATCCCCAGCCCAGTGTGCGCAATTTGACACCCAAAACACAGATGAGAGCGCACTACACAACAGTCAGTGGCACCGGGCAGAGTCCTCCTCCACGCTTTCTCCTTCTGAGGTGCAGCGGTCCTGCTTCAGCTAGAAAGCCATCAGTTTCCATGACTTTTCCCTGGTCCTGTAAGCCACCGTCTCCGGAGGACGGCTTCCTTGCACACTCAGGGGTGACCGTTCTCTCCATCCCTGTCCACACGGCTGAGTGAGGGCACTGTCCCTTCACCTGTGTGGTCTGGACGCTGCTTCCCACTTTTGCGCTGGCCGCACGCCTGCTCCAGAAGGACAGCCAGATGGCAGTGCGGGGTGTACAGCTCCCAAGATAGCGCCTAGTGTTTCTCAGGGTCCAAAATAACTCAGAGCCGCTGGTCTGATACAGAACATTCTCCAGCCCACGGTGATCAGCTCTGGGAAATCCTGAACACACGGGGTTTCCCCTAGAGTTCCCTGCCCACCCCCATTCGACAGAGTATTCTGCCGAGTGCTCTGCATTTGGGTGAGATGCTCCCCGGGACACAGCTCCACGCTTAGAATCCGCTCTCCAGCGGCTGCCCACAGTGCAGTTCCAGGGAGGGCATCCAAGGAGGTCATGCTGAGGTGGGCAGCGGGAGCCGCGGGAAGGACAGGGTCTCACTTCCGGGTGGGAAGGCTGATCTGCCTCAGCTGTGGTGGGACTCGTGCCTTTTCATCCTGTCTCATCGTCAAGCAGACCACAGAAACGCTTTCCAGACTGCAGCACTCGAAAGACTGAGTTTTCAGTATTATAAAAATGGTTTTACCACATCCTTAGGGGCATTTAATAGGAAGTTGAAAGAAGCGTGTTTTGAACTATGCAAGAGGTCAGTTGGTTAAGGCAAAGAGCAGGAAACAAACAGAGATGTGGGCTCTTGTAATGTATGGAAGCAAACGAAAAGAATTTTGGAGGAGTAGTTCACAATAGAACACAACCCAGCAAGAGTATCTAAGACTTCTGAAGAGTCCACTGAAGACCCAGGCATGAGCAACATCAGTTTCCACCTCGAACAACTGCACTGAATTAGTAAATCTCACAGCTATTAAAACTATGGGAAAAGCAGGAACATACAATACTTTTTCTTCACAAATATGACAGGCATTTACTTCACTGAGAAGAAAGTGATTTTTGCTTTAGAATTAGGATTTAGGATGGCTTTTCCTATGTTACATACACCTCATTTTCAGCTTTCTTGTTTATATGAACCTTAAACAATAGGTCAGTTTCACGTCTAATGAGCCTTCAGGCCACTTTGTGTGCACGGCAGACGGCAGCCTTCCGGGAGACGCCACAGACCCGCTCGGAACGCAGCCCCCCATGGACCGCCTCGCACCTGTGTGCGGCCCATGCACTGCACAAGCACACGTGCACTGGGCTCCATGGGTGGATGCAAGGTTGGCAGCTCCGTTCGAAACCTGTGCATATGTTTAGGTGACATTACTAAGAGAGAAGAATGTCTGTGCAGTAAAACCACTGCCACGAAAATATAAGGTCGTGAGTTCAGTTCCCGGTACCGGAGAAAAACCAAAAAAAAAAAAGAAAATATAAGGGAAATTCCAGGGGGTCAGGAACAGAGAAGTGGGAGGGGGTGATGCTGCTACAGCACCGAGCCTGTGCACTTGGACGCTGCAGCAAGAGAGCGAACCTGGAGCGAGGGATACAGGCATGTCGTCATGGTAACCTGGTAAGTGAGTGTACCTGGCAACCTCATGATTCTCACAGGTCTCACAGAACGTCAGACTGTTTCATGAGAAACACACACCACTGGACAGGCTGGTACAGTTTGCTTGCATCACACCCCCCTCCCACTTCACTTCTGAAGATCTTTCCCTGGTATGGACTGTATGTGTACCTTAGCTCTTGAAGTGAAAAAATTACGTAACTATAAAAATGACGCAAATTTTTCTGGTTTTTCTTTGTTTTTTTTCCAGTACCAGGAATCAAACTCACGACCTCGCACTTGCCAGGCAGGCACTGTGCCACTGAGCTAAATCCCCAGCCCCTGATACATATTTTTCTAAAAAATACAGAAAACTTCTTTTCGGGTGATTAAAGAGGTGAATACAATGAATTGTAATGTTTCCAAAGCAACAGATTTTTGTTGTTTTTGTGAAATGTTACAAAGTGAAAAGAGAAAAAGAATTACATAGATACTCACTGAATTGGCATTCGTTGGGTTTGGCCAAGGTCTGCCACCACCTGGACCCCTAAGAATAATAAATAAATGAATTTTAAACTATGCTTTTAATATTTGAAGTTACATATAACAAACCATAAAATATTATTTATAATTTAGTTACTATGCAATTCTAGTTCAACACTGAAATTATTCCTTTATATCTTCATAACTTTTTTTACACATTAAATAAAAAAGTTTACCATTCCATGAACATTGTTCTCCCAAATCAAACTACTTTTAGTGAGGCCAGTTTTAACATTTTTTATTTTTATATACAAAAAATATCAATCACCAATAGCAGTACATACATGTATCTAAATCATTATGCCACTTTTGTAGCAAATGAAAGAAACATAAACAACTTGTGACTTCACTATATGAGCCACCTCTATCTCATTCAAGTAAACCTATTTGTGAAGTTTGTCTCCATTTACCTATGCAGTGACTGCTCTTTTTGAGATAAATAAATGTACATAAAGGGTATCCAGAGTTGCCTCCTTTTCAAAAAGATCATGGAGTATCAAATGTTACTTTATACAACTGTATATCAACTTCTGTTTTAGTGCCATTGATAGTTAATGTGGGGGAATCACTTTCTTATTTTCATAATTTTAGTTTAATGTAGTGGCTAAGAGAAATCTTAGAAAAAAATAAGGATATGCTAATGAATGTTAACACCTTCCTTCATTTTAGGGTGGGGAGTGTTTTGTATCCCATACCTTATAAGGACATAAATGTTTTAAAACAAAATTAAAGGCCAGTTCACTAAATCAAGGTCTTATTCTCATGTTGCAGTACTGAGTATACTTGAATAAATGCTGCCTTAGGAACAGCAGACTAGTGCAGTGGTTCTGTCACTAGGACTGCCTGAAATTCCTCTTTCCTCTAACCATGAAGATAGTGCAAAGTTTGATTTTAAAAATTATGCCCCTTAGGGGCTGGGGATTTAGCTCAGCGGCCAAAAGCACCTGCCTGGCAAGCGCAAGGTCGTGAGTTCGGTTCCCAGTACCGGAGAAAAACCAAAAAAAAAAAAAAAAAAAAAAACCAAAAAAAAAAAAAAATTATGCCCCTTATTCTAGAACTCTTAAGCCTGAAGTATTAAATGTTAGATGAAGAAGCTGTCCAGGTTCACTATTACAGTACCCATGTTTGCTTGGACTAGTTAGGGCATTTAGTTTTATTTCGGGATTCCCTCAGGGAAAGAGCCTGAGTTCTGTGCCCAGGAGCTGCTGGGAATGCCCAGCACAGCTCTGCCCAACTTGACTTGCAGACCAGGGGGAGAACGAGGACTGGGTGGCCGGCAGTGGGTGAGGGGCTTTTCTACTGTCTCAGGAGGCTGCCGCCTGTCTAGGGTGGTGACAATGGTCTGAGGATTCACTACTAAAATATTTCAGAACGAGGACTCCACATCCAGGATTCCACGGAATACAGTAAAACAGGGTGTGAGTCGATCAAGGGAAACATCGATGGAGTAAGACTCGGCCATGTGATTTGTTTGATGTAAACTAAAACACAGTAAGAAACTGGGAAGTATTCATGTTAACATAACATAAAAAAACCTACCTATATCACTGCAAAAATTTATATACAAAGATGATATGTAAGTAATGAGCTCATAATTTTTAAACATTATGACTAAATAAGTACTGCATGAATAAGATGTTCTAGATATAAAATGTTATTTAAAATTCTGTATAATAAATGAACATGCTAAATTGAATGTCAGAATAACTAGACTTTTTATTCAATTAGTTAACATTAAATGTCAAATTAAAAAAAAAAATAAATAAATGTCAAATTTATTGTTATAAATAACATAAAACACATTTCATGCATTTCAATTGTCTAAAAATACTAATTTAATTTTAGTGTGCTAAGTACTTCACACTAGATTTCATTTTAATATGAGATCATGTAACAATAATAAATGGTATGCAAACATGTTTTCACAGGCAGTGCTGAATATAATGGAAGTTACACAGTGAGCAGTTTTCATGAAACTGCTTAAACTCTGGGATCTCCCTCCTTTTGTAGCTTCCAGTATCGTAAAGAAAATAATCTACATACACGTTATTTTGAATGAAAATTTTTTTTTTTTTTTGGTTTTTTTTCCGGTACCAGGAACCGAGCTCACGACCTTGCACTTGCCAGGCAGGCGCTTTGCCGCTGAGCTAAATCCCCAGCCCCCGTAATGAAAATTTTTATGTAAGTATAGCTTGACATAGAATCAGGCTAGTATCAATTAAAAATGAAGAGAAAAATGTAAAAAACATTTTGTGGTACTACTGGCAAATGACGAGCCACAGCTCAGTCCCTTTTAATTTCATTTATTTTACTTCTTAACATTTGAAACAGCGCTCATAAGTTTCCCAGGCTGGCCCCCAACTTGCCTCAGCCTCTCAGGCAGCTCTGGCCGCCACCCTTGACTAAGAAAAATAAAATTTAAAAGAAGTGTGTGTTTCTTAGTAAAGATGCTAACTTTGATGGAATCAAAGCAACCGTGACGATCAGGGAGAAAAGTCCTCTCTCCTCTCTTCTGTAACTCATACTCATTTTAATCACTACATGAACTTCATTACTCTGCAGGACAAGGTGCAGAACAAGAAGATCCTTTGAAAATCTTTCATTCTCTTAGTTTCCATAAAACAGCAAGGTATAAAAAGTTGAAATGGAAATGTGTTAATACATAACCCTGATTTCTTGAAAATTTGTAAAAATGTAATTAATTTAGAAATGTACCACTATGCAAGTTTCTCTGAAATATAACCTATAACACATTTGAAAACATTTACATTTGGGCCATGGTTTATGAATTTTACTTTAAATCACTTAAACTAATATTAGGATTTTACTTCAGAAGATATAATACCAGTTACAGAAATACTCAGAGTAAACTTTTAATTTTAATTGAACTTTGTGGAATTCATCCTGAGTTTAAAGCACATATGAAAAAAATATATCAAAGTAAAGGAAAGGTCCGTGGAGGTGGCCAATATTTTCTAACAATAAAGTTACGAAGATTTTGTTCCGAATGGTCTATTCAGCAATGAAAAGATACAGTTGCTGTTACGACGGGGTATTTACCGCAAGACTTCAGTGGCCACAGTCGGATATTTTTGACTGTCATATTCTCAAAGCAAATAAGAACGAATGACAGACTAAGAGGCATCCAAACATGATTCTCTGGACTCCCAAGACACAAATATTTTAAAATAGTTTAAAGACATAGGTAAAGTATTACCATTCTGATGTTTTAATTTCAATTTTTAAGTAGGTCAACATGTATAAGTTAAAATACTAACAAAAGACCTGGAGAAAGGCACTGATACTAGTTACAAGTACCTATTTGCCATTATGGAGATGGGCTCTGTTTTAAAGAAAATGAATTACGAAGTGAGTTCTAACTAAGCTTACTCTATTGAGTGCAATGACATAGAATGTGTTTTATTTTTTTATGTTTTGTAAATTCATTTTTGCTTTGCTGGGGCCATTACCAATCATTATTCTCTCTGGTTGCCACATTTGTGAAGTTTCTAGAGAGGAAAGTATTTAAGTGTGTAAGTATGTAAGGACTTCTATTTTTCTTATTTTTGAAGGAATTTTAATGAATAGAAAATGGAAGGAAATACTAGCAAATAATGGAAATTAGAGTCTTTAAGACTTAAAATTTTGTTCAGAAGCAGAAGTTGTATTAATAGTACAATATTATACAATTGAAAAACTTTAAAAATATCTTGGAATACTTAAATGAGAAGCCCATACCTAAATATCAACAAAAATAATCACAATAAAAATTTCAGCCGTATTTTTAGTCTTTGCAGTCTTGGAGATTTAAATGTGCTCATAACTATACACATCAGTGCATATAAAAAGGAAACTAGAAAGGAACTGGGTAATTTTAAGCAGCTACTTGAGTATCTTACTTATCCCATGAAAATGAATTCTTTCTCTGCACTCGCAGAAACAGGTTGACCTAAAGTTAGCCATATGGCCATTATAATGTATTGTAATACACAAAATGATGTTAGACACATTCTTAATAATTTATACTCCTTAAAACAGGTCGCCCTTAAGGTGAAAATCTCAGGTAAATTTTATATATTTCTCCATCCCATTGATAACAGTTTCAGCTGTAGACATGAGCACAGAATATCACTCATTCTTTTTTTGCAGCAACTATTAATAAAAGGGTAAACTTTTGAGAAACTCAGGAAGAGTCAGACTTCACATCTGTCCATTTTTATTTTAAAAGTGAAAAGATGTGATGGGAAAATCTGACCTACTTTCTCCCTCGCCTCTTCTGTTAGTTTTGCGTCTGGCTGGTGTCCAACCTAAGTTCAGTTTCACGCAGAACTGCATTCTGTGACAGTGGTTTCAGAAACTTAAAAAAAAAAAAAACCCTACATACATTGAAAGCACTTATTTCACACGATATCTTTAATGCCAGTAAATGACAGCAGAGTTGTTCAATTTGATACATAAATAATTAAAATAGGGACTGATGTAAAATGTGTTTGAGAAAATACCCATGTGAAACAATTATCTCTGTGAAGCTTCTTTTAGCTCACATGGCAGAACGGTCCTCTTGTGAATTAGGGAAAGTCCCTGGCAAATACCTGGCATGTATGTGACTCTGACGGCAAGCCGGGCGATGTCAAAACTCCCTAACAAACTGCATTACATTGGCTGACAGAAACAGACTATTCCATTTGGGTCTGTAAGGTCTTTCTAAAAGTGTTTTTTAATTGACTTTTTATACCCTATGCCCACGGAAAGCTCTTTAATATACACACCCTACCAGAGAGAATTCTTGCTGGGTTGAGAGTGGCCCCAACAAAGCAAAAGTGAAGAAAGACACGCATATATAGTTAAAAACTTCACTCTGCAGAATCACTTGTATCTGCTAGAATGAGGCTCACAACATGCGATTGTTTAAGTCATGGTCTCCGAGTCAGCATCTCTTCATATTGCCTACAGACGCTATACAGACACTGTGAGGCGGGTACCCAGAAACAGGATAAAGGTCATTACGTGCAGCACCTGAAAATGGAAAATCAAAGCTTTGCCAAAAAACCATAAGGAATCAGGTTGTGGAAATGAAGCAAACACTGCAGCTCAAGTTTAGTTCACTGTTACACTACACAGAGACTGAGGGCTCAGGCTGCTTTACAAATTGGCGTCATCTTAGAAGACTTGAGAAGAGAGAACACGTTACTGTACAGAATAAGAGAGCGCTTTGCTTACATGTTCATGCCAGGCATCCCGGGGCCACCTAAAGCATTCAGTGGGGGTCTCATTGCACCTCCATAGTTCTGTAATGATAACCAAGGGTCAGACTACCACAAAACAAAAAAACAAAACCAAAGAGGAGGGGGAAGAAAGGAGAGCAGGTTAATGATTTCCCTACACAACTCCCGACGGGACGAGGCCTGTGTAATTCACTCTCTGAAGGGTCCACTCTGAACTTCTGCTTCTAGCTTAGCAATTACTCTATTCTGTGTCTTTAGAAAAACTACATGAGTATGGAAGATCATAAGAGCATGCGAAATGATTATGGTATTAATATTCAACATATTTTTATTCATTTCCCAACACTGGTCCACTAGTGAACTTTTTCAAGTAAAACATTTCATAAATCAAAACTTGTGTTTTTAGAGAAAAAATGTATTCAAAGGGCTTGAAATGGGCAGATCCAGAACAATTATATGAAGTCTGAAGAAAATGAAGAAAACCCAATTGAAATGAAACAGATAAACCCAATTCAAGAAAGTTGAATATGAACTCCACACAAAATCACAATCCAACACAAAAATGCATGAATACTTAAAGATATGCAAAATACATGGAAACTAGTGTATCCTCAAAATATACATGCATGAATTATATGACCAAATGAACTTCATTTAACATCTGTTACGTGCAATCAGAAGATGAAAAACATTTCAATGTTTTAACATACATATCACTTTAGCTTAGTTTAGGTGCTACGAAGCCCACAGGTGACTTATCACCACCAAGTTAGTATGCTCTGACACTCGGTGACGCTCACACTTGGCTTTCTGACACTACGCTTCTCCTACTCTTCTGCGTACTCTTTTTCACTTTTCTTTGCTGGCTGCTTTTATTTTGCTAACTCTTTAAATGTTGCTTCTCTCCAAGTTCTGCCATGTTCTTTCTAATAAATACATATTTATGGGCAATCTTATCTGGTACTGTTTACCCATTAGGAATCCAGATCTTTATATTTTATCATGGAATCTCGCCAAGCTCCTAGGTATCTCACATGATGAGGGTCACAGTGTCCTGGATGCTGCCTCCCTGGCAATATACCTCACAAGAAACCCGGTGTTATCTCTTCCTGTCTGAATTGTCCACGTGGCCTTTTATACAATAGTGTGGCCCAGGACTCTCTAGAGCTCCCTGATATTTCTTCCTTTTCTTTCAATCTCCACATTCTGTCAGATACCAAAGCCTACTGATTCTACTGAGAGGAGTTCTCGAAACAGTGCTTCCCTCCCGGCACTCATCTCTGCAGGTCCTGAGACTGCTGCTCTACTGCACCTCTCCACCCCTCCTCCATTCTCCACGCTCCTGAGCGCTACCTTCGTACAGCTCTCTGGACCCAGCCAGCAGCCAAGCAGTCTGAGCTCCTCCAGCATGGGTCTGTGGCCATTTCCAGCTTGGCCCCAGCTGTCTCCTCTGCCCCTATCTCCAGGTTTCACTTTCATTCTGCTCCCAGCTGTATTCTCCAACCTACTGGACTTCTGCAAGTTCGGAACACTTTCATATTCATGCTACCTCGTCTTCCTTCGCCTTTCTTTTGTAGTAGGCGCTAAGATGACAAGGACATAAAGCAACGAGAAGAGTCTCTTAACCCCAGAAAGACTCAGGAAGTGAAATCCCTTAGTTACATGCTACTCTCACTTGCTTTTACTTAAGGAAATCTTATTTAAGCATCCTGAATTGGGTGCTGTGGGATGCTGGGGTGGCTTCTATCCACACTGGAGCCACTGGTTCAAACGACAACTACTTCCCTTACTCTCTGGGTTATGCATGGTGATACCAGCAGTACCAGCAAGGGGTTTCTGAGACAAATGATACTCACTAGAAACAAAATATGAATGGTAAATTAAACCAGACATACTTCACAAGAAAACCCTCCCCTTATTCTTTAGCCTGCGTTTTATCTTATCAAGGAAAACATTACTTTTCTATACAGCTTTGGACAGAGAAATGTATTTTGGTTTGACTCTCTGCTCCAAAAGTTTTGTGTCCACTCCATCCCTCTTTCCTTTTCTTTTCTTTTTTTTTTTTTTTTTTTTTTTTTTTTTTTTTTTTTTTTTTTGGTCTTTTTGAGACAGGGTCTCACTATGCAGTTCAGGCTGGCCTTGAGCTCACTTTGTAGCCCAGGATGGTCTTGAATTGGCAACAATCTTCCTGTCTCAGCCTCCTGAGTGCTGGGATTACAGGCATGTGCCACCCCACCCAGCTAACCCACCCCTCTTCTCTTTATGTGTGATTTTGGGCCAATGATTTTCCCCAGTGATCCCTCAATTTTAGTTTCCTTATCTCTAAAGTGATACTATTATCTTCCTAATAGAAGGATAAAATATAAAGCACCTACCACACTGCGTGGTGAATTAAAACCATGGTCTTTTTGGTTAAAACTGTAGCTGTTACATCTTTCTTGCCATTTCTAATACACCTTAAATGAGTCTTCTTATTGGCTTCCAATGAGTCCTCAATGCTAGCAGATTCACTTGCTTGTTTATGTAATGACTCCCTGGTCATTTCATAAACAGCGTGTGCATTTCCCTTCTACACATTCTTATGGTGTGGTAGTTTAGATGTATCTGTGAACCCTGCTAAGTAGTCAGTATCTTCAAGACAGAGTATTTATTTTATTCATCTTTATATACTTAATGCTCAAGTACAATGCTTGGCACATAGTAGGACTTCAACACATGACTGCCTAATTAAACTGAATTGTCAGTGAATAAGTGATTATTCAAAACAGTACATACTTGATAGTTTTAGAAAATATTTTCATTTTGTGAATCATCTAAAGCAAAAAGAAATTAGGCAGAAAAGAAAGAATAACAACTGCTTTCCAACAAAGGCAGAATGGGAAGAGCTAATTTAGAATCACTGAATTTCAAAGCTGATGGCAACTATGCAATTCCATCTGGTCTAATCTCTCTTCCAATGCAGTGTTCCTGACGGAATGGTGGTTTAGGCTCTCTTAGAAGGGTTATAAAACGTCTTACCGCGATTGGGCAGTTTAATTTCTAGGAAGTTTTTCCTGTACAGAGCTGAATTCTAGCGCCATGTAACATTTGAAAACAGAATCAGTGTACTAGGTGAAATGAGCTTACAGGTGAAAGGAGAGCCTATCATATGTTTCACCATTTCCCCACTTCTCTGTCCTGACTATCTGATTTGGAAATCTCATTTATATGTAACTTTTTCATTTTTATTTTTATTAGTCCATGTTTGCAGTGCCCATGATCATATTCATCATGGGGAACTGGAGCCTGTCCATGACACATATTACTTTTTTATCCTTCAACTTTCTGGTGGAACTAGAAACAGGTACTTTAAATCACCTGATACCTTGCTGACTTTACAAACCCAGGCTAGCTAAGGGTACCTTATTATAAAGGCAAGTAGAAAAGTGACTTCAAATGTTAAGAACCCTTTTTCTTGACTACATAGATGTTTTGCTTTTCCATTGAGAGGATACTGATATCAACTTAAAGTCATGTGCTGTTACTATACTTCATTCCAGAACAGATGAGGGATGGGAAATACACGCCCAGGTTTGGGGGAGACTTTGATGTCTTCATTTATGTGCTAAGTGCTAACCACACATCTACTATATTCCACATGTGCACTTTGCCTACATCAGCATGATTCAAGAATCATGTGTATTTCTCTGTTTAGGACTTGTTGTTCCATTAACTAACCACTGTTTCCCTTCATCACACTGATTTTAAGCTAAAAAAAGAAATCTCATAGAAGCAGTGCCTGTGGAAAAAGAGGTGTATACTGTGTCTGAGCAGAAGGCTAGATAGCGTGTTGGGGCTTTCTGCCACACAACTGGGATGACACAGGTGACTCTGCCCTTGGGGGCCTCTGTGTGGCCAAATATCTGCTGTAAGAGCTGAACTACTTTCCAAGAGACACAGTTGATCTTTCTCACCAAGTGCACAGTTCACAGGGCGTGAATTTTATGTGGCTAAGAAGTGTATGTGTCACAAGATTCCTCCGAGGACTTCACCTTGTTTTCTATTGTACCATTCATATGAATATGACTCTTGTTTTCATTTAAGTATTATATATTCTATGTATAAGCGATTTTCTTTAGCTGTTTTTGCTTTGCTATTACTATTACTTTACTATTAAAGGTATTTCTTGGGTTTAATGTGAATTCATACTAAAGCACTTTATTTTTCTCATATTATATGGAAACAGATAGCAAGGGTACAGTTAATCTAAATGGAAGAAATAAACTATTTCCCTTGAGTTTGAAAATGCAAAGAAAATATTCCCATACAATAAACTTAAGTTATTAAAACTCATCAGTTACAGATTACTCAATAGAAAGAGATGATTTTTATTATCTGCTTTAACTTACTTATAACATAGATTTGTAGAATAAAAGCATAAACACTAGTACGCTTTTTACTTCTCATTTTTACCTGAGATTTAAAGGTTCATGTAGTTTACACAAACACTGGTTACCTCTTTAAACACTGCAAAACTGACTCACAAAAGAGGTTCTAATTTTTAAAGCAGAAAAACTAATGTTAGTAATATTTTTGGAATAACAAAACAAAGAGCTAAAAAAATTCCAAGTGAACTGAATGAAAAATGATAATTAAATTATAAGCATAAAGTTTTTATGTGTATTTTAAATGTATCTATTAAGACAATCTTTTGGGAAAAAAATCTTTCAAATTCTGCACAGCCACGTTGGTGTTGGCAGAGTTTACTAAAGACCAAAAGTCCATTTAGGAATGAGATCTCCTATAGATCTTACAAATCTTAACTGCTATTGATAGCCTAATGATAGTTGATTAACACAAACCATCCTTCCTAATATGAACAGAAACAGGGAAAAATTTTAGACATGTAAATGAAAGTTTTATAAGAGCTTAAGGAATTACATAGAGAACAGCTTGGGGTGATCACATCTCTGAGGAACTTGGTCATTGCATGCTCATGTTTCTATATAGATTATATTATTGTATGTTGGTTAAACAAAATCCCTAGATCTATGTCACATCATTTGAGTGTTAGGTTTTTCATTTTTTGACTCCACTGGGGAAAAAATTAAAAATCAATTTAATTCTTTATAAGTACATGAAACAAATTACCAAAACTGTCACCAACAATGCTTATTCATGTTAGCTTTAGGACATGGTAACTTCTGACCCAGAAGGTAAAAATTTAAAATTCTAGATCTGGATTCACTTTCTTTAAAGTACAACATAATAAAATTAATTTCTATCTTAATTTTTTTTAAGAGACAAAATGATGTTTGAACTAAAGAAATGATATCCTGGAATAGCTTGCTTAAAATATTACCATGAGTTAGGGCAGATTTAACCTCAATGTATTCTTTTGAGTAATTCTGATAGTAAAAGTTGGATTATGTCTGATGATATAGCAGTAATATTATCCTTGTTCAGTAAAACACATTTTAATTTTTAGTTCTCAATGATTCTCTGTTTTCCTAGCCTATAAAGAAATATGGTTGTATATAGTAATTTTTAATGGCATTCTTTAAAAGATTTATGGAAATATCTTTTATGTTCATTCTACTTAATACTTTCAATTAAATGGTTTTATATAACTTAACCACTTCCTTAACATAGCTAGCCAAACGTGTAACAGTTATCCATACTATACTAAAATATATTTTTTATACATTGTTTTCCCAAATAAACTAAAGCATACACGATGGCAATTTGTTAAAAGTTTAATTTGGAAATGTGACAAATACTCTCTCTTAACAAGGATTCTAACAACGATGTTCATCAACAGAGAGTGCGTGCGTGCGTACGTACGTACGTACGTACGCGCATGCGCGCATGCGCACTCGGGGTGTATCTAGGGCCTAACATGGCCTACCCCTGCGGACCTCGAGGCTCAAGCGTGCGCATAGTGCAGCACGTGCTTCAGCCCACAGGCAGCCGAGCGATCCCCTGTGGCAAAGCCAGAGGCGCTGAAGACTTACCTGCGGTCCCAAGGGCACCATCCCTCGAGGGGGAGTCATTCTCTGCATCGGCCCAGCCATATTCGGGTGTCCTGCAAGGGATGAGGACATGAGCCTCTAAGCGAATGTCCGAAGGTTGACGCCCCTGCCCGGCCCCC